ACCCTATTATAATAGGTAGGTGAATAGGATTATAATCTACCCAGTCACATGGTTAACGATAAATTAAATAATGACCGATGAAGGCAGTATTTGGAAAAAGGGACTTTTGAAATGTGAGTAGATGTTTCATTGGAGTGGCTTATACCCAGCAGTGGGTGAACCCAGGCTAAAATGACGAGGTCAACTATTAACAGAACAAATTATTTTAGTATCATCATGAATACACGTTATTAGAAAAAAGGTACCTACATTTTGTCTTTTTCTTTTCTTTACGGGGGAAAATCATCGAATGACTGCTCCCGCCTCAGTGAGGCGGAAGGGAGTGTCAGACTCTTACTGACTAAAAACCACCCCGTTCGTACTCCTGCACTTCGAGCCGGAGCCCCGGTAACCCGTTAGGTTCTCCGCGACTCCGTATACCTACATTTTGTCTAGGGTTCAATAGTGGTGTGGACTCATAGGAGCTTAATTTGAAAATCCTTAGATTGACTTCATAAACATATTTGTATACTTCTGTAGATAAGTTCACTATAACGACCTTGTGAATAGTGACAGAGTACTTATTTACTGTTTATCTGTCTGGCAGAAGTTCGGAATATGAAAATAAACTATACAACCATTTAACTATCACTTAGCATTCCGATGTTGACCTAGATTGGAACAAATATGTGTCTACATATTTATTTCTATTAAAGCTAAATTGTGTACCTATGTTATTATGTATTCATTAATTGGGTGAGCCGTAACAGTGTTAAGATGTTGTGTAAAAAAAACAATATTTAGAAGTTCTTTTATGAAACATCTTCTAAATGGTCACAGCATTATATTATACTGTTTATTAAAATAAATATAGTAAGTCCTTAGAGTTAAATATGAATACCAGCAGCTATAGCCAAATGCCATTTAGCGCTTATCTACTTGTAGAGTAGAAAACTAAATCATATGGGATTGAAGTAAATTTTGACACTTTTTTTTTTAAGGGTGGGGAAAGTCGGTGTCATCCCCATACATTTAGTTTTCTACTCTCTCGGTAGACAAGGGCTTTTTTTTGAGGGGGGAAAATCATCGAATGACTTCTCCCGCCCGGGTGAGGCGGGAGGGAGTGTCAGACTCTTACTGACTAAAAACCACCCCGTTCCTACTCCTGCACTTCCGAGCCGGAGCCCCGGCAACCCGTTAAGTTTTCCGCGGCTCCGTATCGGCATCAGCCCTGTTAGGCCCCATCTGTGGTGGTCTGATGGCTCCTCGAGGAGCGTGCGGAACGCGCCGCGCTGTACGCTCGGGCCTGGTTCTGGTCGGGCGGCGAGTCACCCATGCTCGCCGTCCGCAGGTCCGTGCGGTAGACAAGGGCTAAAGTGGCGTTTGGCTAAAGGTACTGATTACACAAACAAGAAAGGTTGATTGCGGTATTCGATAGTGTAGAATCATAGTTATGGGATTCTGACGGTTTCATTATTAGAAATGGAGGCAGGTTGAAATGCTTTAGCGGCCATTAAAGCTAATTCTAGACACAATAAAAAGTGAACGGTGTTATTGGTATTTGGAATTGGTCGTTTGGTATTTTAGAGTCAAATATTATGTTGCTTCAATATTGCCAACTAATCAAATATAGTTTGAATAAATTACTTGGAAATAAGACCTAAAATATCACAAAGGCTACTTGTTAACACAGCAAGCGCGCGAACCCATCGGAAGAAGCTAGTAGTAATTAATGTTCTAAAATCTAAAGCCTAGTACAATGGCCCAATTACCCCCAACTACCCCTCCCCGCTTCCCCAATCCCTCAATCCTCAAATTCCTAATCCCAAAAGGCCGGTAACGCAACCTCTGGTAATCCAGGTGTCCATAGGCGACGCCGATTGCTTACCAAATGACAATGACCTAAAATATTTTGATCATTTTATAATGCATTGTACATGTAGATACAGTTACATTCAGCATAAGTCCACTGTCCAGCCATTGTAAAGAAAAAATGTGATAAAGTAGGATTTTAACAGCATGAATCACAAATTGTATTACGTGTCGAGTAATTAGTACGTAATATACACTCATTTCAAGGTTAAAGGATGTATATACTTTACTATAAGGCGTTATCGTACAAACCGGTGTTTTGATTCAAGTCTGTGATATGGATAGGTAGAGGATATTATGTACTATCGGCAAAATTTACGGTGGTACAGTTTTCAAATAAAATCCTGTGGCATACTCGCTATCCACCGGGCGTTTTCCCTGTGATCGCTCGCGGCGAGTGCATACGAATATCACCTGATCATGGTCGACCGCCAACTTTGTCGATTGTACTTTGACTTTGATATTGCCAACATTGAGATATGACAAGATTAATAAGTTATTCTTTTGTTTCGTTATTGGTGCTGTAACATCCTGCCTTACAGGATCTATAGTGAATACAATGCAAATGTAGCAATTATTTCCTAATATTTCTGCGTTGCGGCCATGTTACTTTGCATAAGTGCAATAAGTTTAGGTACCTACGGTTTGTTTTAAACAAAGACTTTGACCAATGATTGCAATAGATAACTGAATGAGGCTGTCATTTTCACACCTACATTGAAGTTAGATAAGATGATTAATGGTCTTCAAGTACCTACCTATTGTACGATATACTATATTTATTAATACCTAAGTACGACTGCACGTTGAGCTACCCTTATCAGTCTTACAATAGATTTTCAACTTTATTCTTTATGTAATAGAATTAAAAATAAACTTCGCTTCCGTATACTTATGATTTTAGCACATGGTCAAATCGTTAAGTGATGAAGTAATGGATTATTTATATCTTGCTCTATCAATATGTTAATTACTCATCTTTTAAAAATAATTATGATTACGTTTAAGTTGTTTTTCTTATGGAAATGGCAGTATCAATGGAGAGGACAACCTTTCAGTTATTTTGTAGGTGACACTTATAGATTTATCTGTATGGCAAGTTAAAATAAATTGAGAAATCTTTTATACACGTATACTGTATAGTCAGGACAAGAGTTATGTGTAAAAATAGATGATACGCGCGTCAGTCCAGACAAGTGCCTAATTTTGTTTTTTTTTTCGTCTTTTCACTTTGTATAAATCTTGGCAGGAATCAAAACGACATATACTATCATTAAAAAATAAGATAAGTGCTAGTCTTTTGACTGCCTCGTTGGCCGAGTGATCGTAAGTGCGACTGTCGGGCAAAGTATTACTGGGTTTTTAAATATTTTCAGTAGTAGCACGGAGTCTGGAATTGTGCCCGGTATATGGCAATAGGCTCACCCCCTATTACATGGGACTCATAATATAAATAGTGAAAAGTGGGTGTTACATTGTACAGTGGTATAATGTGCACCTCTGCCTACCCCTTCGGGAATAAAAAGCGTAATGTTGTGTTTTTTTAAGGGGGGAAAATCATCGAATGACTGCTCCCGCCTGGGTGAGGCGGGAGGGAGTGTCAGACTCTTACTGACTAAAAACCACCCCGTTCCTTCTCCTGCACATCGAGCATGATGTGTATGTATATAAGTGCTCGTTTAGAATACGCGATTGACGCAGTGATTGCTAAAACATGAAGTGCAACGACGCAGATTAGATTACCACACCGAGAATCTGTGTGTGATACACAAATATTTTTTCCGTATTTCGGCGTGAGATGTCAAATCATTCATTTCAGTCACTTTTGTAGGTCAAACTATACCTAAAGTATAATAAAAATAAATCTGTTTATCGGTCGATCTAACGGTAAGTGCTTATTTGATATTGTGTTTCTTAACTGTACTTGTAATCATTTGTCGTCGTGGTGGCTCGGAGGTTTAAGACGCCCGCTTCTCATGCATGAGGGTGCGAGTTCGAAACCTACCAACGGCAAGTACCTATGTGACTTTTTCAGAGTTACATGTACTTTCTAAGATTGTCTAGACACCGCTGACAAACGGTGAAGGAAAACATCGTGAGGAAACCTGGGCTTATAATTTCTAATTATAAGTTTGTAATCGCCAACCCGCATTGAGCAAGCGTGGTTATTAATGCTCAAACCTTCTCCGTGTGAGAAGAGGCTTTGCTCAGCAGTGGGCATTTATAGGCTGTTGATGATAATGACTTGTAATCATTTATCTTTATACAGTAAAGATTAAATTATATTTTCCGTCGTCTGACTGCGTGAACGCGATAAACTCGAAAACTGCTCGACGGATTTTTTACGATTTTCGCCGATAGGATAGTGTGATTTCTGAACACGATCTAAGTGTGTAGTTTATCATGTGATCGGCCACAAAGTTAAAAACATAGGATTAAAATAATAATAGTTGCGACGAGGAAGAGCCATACTTCGGCACGAATAAGCCGGTTCGACCAGAATAATAGCCTCACTTAAAACCGACTTGAAACAAAGCTGACGTAGCCTTTCACCTTAAGTGATTTGCGGACCCCCAAAAAACACCGCACTTGAAATTATTCTAGTGTCGCTAGCATCCATTGGCAGTGCCGATTGCTTACCTTTCGATGATCATAGCGCAACGTGAGCACGATGTTGCTGCGCCATATAAATTGTAGTTATAGTAACACAATCGAATAGGTGAAAACTTTTTTTAAGGAATAAGTCGGTAAACGAGCTGACGAATGACCTGATAGTAAGCAATCGCCGTCGTCCGTAGACACACATAACATGAAGGGCGTTACAAGAGCGTTACTGACCTTTTGGCGATTAGAGATCTGAGGATTGTTGGGAATTCGGGGATAGGAGAAATTGGGGAGGGGGGTAATTGGGCCTAGCCTTTTTTTAAGGGGGGAAAATCATCGAATGACTGCTCCCGCCTGGGTGAGGCGGGAGGGAGTGTCAGACTCTTACTGACTAAAAACCACCCCGTTCCTTCTCCTGCACGTCGAGCCGGAGCCCCGGTTACCCGTTAGGTTATCTGCCTAGCTAAGCTTGCACTAGGCACTATGATGTATATTTGTCTACTTATTTGTCGATCTTACTAACAGATTAAAGAAAATGTACTTACCAACAGTGGTGTATCGCACATAAGTCTCTTGGTTGTCCATCATGGCATCCACGGCTTGTTTCTCGCAGTACAACGCGGTTATCACAGCTATACTCGGCTGGCGTGATGAACACAACTGTGGCATTTGTTTCACAACCTGACAAAGATTATATTTGTGTTAAAATCTCATTTTACTGTTGTCATTTATTGAGGTAATCATAGGTAGAGCTGAAAACAAGTCTGTACTAGAAGCCTCATTAATAAAACACAAAATGTAATTCAAACCTGGTTAACAACTCAATACTGACTTAAACCGACTTTGTACTCTAAAAATATTCGGAAAAAGGTTAAGACCTTGAGAAAAAGAAAGAAGAAGGAACATGTGGCGCCATCTGTTTTCTCGACAATGAACTATTGGCGCATATTATATTATGAGGAAACATTACGCGCTTGTATGCTCATCCTATACTGGATAAATACAAATATGGTTCATAGGACAAGGGACAGTTCTTTTAATGAAACCGGGGGCTATTTCATGCCCTGAAAATTTTTTATACATAACATAACAAAACATCATGCATTTTATCCCCGAAGGGATAGGCAAAGGTGCACTTAATGCCACTATACAATGTAACAAGCACTTTCACTATTTATGTTATGAGTCCCATGTAATAGGGGGTGAGCCTATTGCCATTTACCGGCCATATTTCCCAACTTCGTAATACTACTAACAATTCAAAAAAATCAGTTATAATTTGACATGTCAAACCCGAGACTCCTTGCCCGGCAGTCGCACTTGCAACCACTCGGCCAACGAGGCAGTCACACAGGCAGCAGTGAAAAGCTTAAGTATTAAATTTAAATAAGGATAGCTGCAAGTATTACCTGTGTATCTACACTATGTTGTCGGACGTAAACACCTTCTGACATGGCCCGAGTCAAACCTTTCTCCTCTAACGCTTCCAGCGCATCTTTCACGTCTGCCTTCGACCATTTCCCCGCTCTGTAATTAAAACATTATTCTAAGACAAAGTATTAATACAAGCCTAAGTCCCAAGAGCAAAATCTTGGACTACAAGAGATCACTTTCAAGAATGCGACAGATAATATTGAAAAAGATTATTTTTAAGGGTGAACATAAAAAGGATTGATATAATAGTCGTTGATAATTTTCTTTACTAATGATCTAATACTAACGGTTGGTCAAATATTGTTAAGATTCCGTACTGACACATCCTAGTTTGGAAAAGGTCAGAAAAACAATTGACGGATTGACACTATTATTGAAACTACACAATGGTGTAGATATTTCAAATACATGGGAAAACAGTTAATAATCTAGAAATCAATAATTGATTTCTCTAAACACACTGGTCTAATATAACATAAAATAATCTCACGCACGGCTTAAACGGAAATCGATATTCTAAAACAAAAACCGTGGGAATCTAAGCTTTATTGTTAGAGTAATAAGAGTTTGTTTAACAAATCATGTATGTACTTACGTGACAAAATCGTCAACAGTCAATGGGTTGGGATATGCATTTTCTATCATGTCCAATACTCTTTGTTCTGAGATCACTTGCGTTTGGTTCAACACACTATCTTCAATGTACGCTAAAATAAAATTTATTTGCATTAAATAATGATAATGGATTTTCGATAAGACCTACAAATGTTTAGAAAAACTCAACTTAACGGCATGTTGTATACAGATCTCATCATCATCAGCCATTTTCCATCAACCTGGATAAAAGCCTTTCCAATAATCAATTGTGATGCCGTGTGCCGGCTTTTACTTGGGCTTTATATCTTTATTATAACTAATAAAGTCGGTTCAGAACAACTATTTACTTTAATTTTACTCTCTATCTCACTCTACCATACAAAAACTTGCGCTATTTTGCGCAAAACCACAATGTTTAGCGCAACAGCACAACTATTTTGCGCAAAATTGCCTAACTAATATTTAGCTTTAGGAAACCCATATTTAGTATGACACACCAAAAAATAACATATAAAAACGATAAATTAGTCTATAATCTAGATTCAAACAGGTACAAAACTCATGCAATCAGTACATTAGTGGATTGCTTCGAAAGGAAATTGTGTACAATAAAATTAATTGTCCTACTGGTTACTAGGAATATGATACCTAATTATAACAGCACAGTACATACTTGAATGCGTCTAGTCTAAGTTATAATAAGCAAAAATAATGTATGATAATAAAACAAAATAATTGTAATATTATTAATATGATATTGTCGTAACAAGAGGACTACCATTACTCAGCGAAAGTGTCTGTCTGTTTGTTTATCAAGTCACATGATTTAGTTAGGAGACTGCAGATCAATGATTATGTTACTTTATTTTCTTTGACCACAAGCTAATATTAAAAGAATGATGATTTCATTAAAAAATTCAGCACTTTACTTATTCCTTCGTGACTAGCAAACTTATTAAGTAGGCCTAAAATATTAGCCGATTTTGTAAGATATAGTAGTGCCCAATTATTTTGCTATTATAACAGCTTCATTGCTCTATGCAAAACTAAAGTGGCGTGTTACTAATTTAGGTGTTAATTTATGTATTTTTCTTACCCACAAACCATAATTATTGGGTATCGTAGATGCAAAAATATTAAGTTATTAAGTAAATGTGAAAGTCTTTTAGTTTTTTATTACCTAAACATTTTGGAATTATCTGAATGATTATAATATTTTGATTTTTTATTTTTAGGCATATTATATGTTACTAAATTAATATAAGCTTTATTTTAATTAAAATAGTCAGATATTTTAATGATTTCGCTAATTAAACAATTTAAAATATTAAAATATGAATAGATACATAATTCAAAGTCACAGAATACAGTACATACATGCATAATAGTAATACATACTAAAATAATATACATACAGCCATTAGAATAGTTGTATATAACGCTCTTACTCGTAATAACGCCATTTGCTTCTGTACCATAAAATTAAAAACAAATGTACTTATTATTATTATTATATCAAGCTTTTTAAAGTAATATAAGTTCTTTGTTATTGATACAGACTGGACAAAACATGTTTTCTAAATAAGGAAGCAAAGAACTTGGTGTATAGAACAGTTAGTATTTCGAGAAATTGTTTATATGCCAACTAACAAAGTTGGAATTTTGTAAAAGAAGGGTTTCTGAGGCAAAATCCTACTTTATAACTAAACAAATTTTCTCCAACAAAGTCAAGTACGTACGGAGATCATGGTAACGATTATGTTATGGAAAGCCATAAAACAATAGTAAACTATTAAGGCCCGTTGCTGAACTTTGTGAAAGAGGTCATTTTGATATTGGACTGATCAGAACATAGGAATAGTCCAGTCTGTACCAAACTCTATAGACAACATGAAAACTTTTTTATAAAAGGGCAATCCCATATAAATTGCCTATAATATAAGTAATTACTCATATATATTTCTTACTATAATCAGTTAATTATATCCCAATAATTGTGCAATTAAATAATTATTATTTATTTAATGTTTTTTCTTTACTTACCAGGTAAAGGAGGACCGGCTGCCTCTTGTCTTAATTCTACTTCTAATAACTTAAGTTGATTATATTTGTGCTGCATCAATTTCATTATCTTTTTAATGTAACCCACGTAATCTGAAATTAGATATTATTATGAACAAAATGTGTATTTCTTGATAGTAGGTAGATTAATGACTGCCTCGTTGGTCGAGTAGTCGCAAGTGCGACTGCCGGGTTCGATTCCCGGGTCGGGCAAAGTATTACTGGGGTGTCCAAAAAAATCTAAGTAGTAGCACGTAGTCTGGAATTGTGCCCAGGATATGGCAATAGGCTCACCCCCTATTACATGGGACTCATAACATAAATAGTGGAAAGTGGGTGTTACTTTGTACAGTGACATTAAATGCTGTAATGTGCACCTCTGCCTACCTCTTCGGGGATAAATGGCGTGATGTTATGTATGTAGATTAATGAGAGTATAAGGTAGAGTAATGAGAAAGTAACTAGAAGCAAAATTTTGGTTTTGGTATACACTCTGTGTGTTTTCAGTATCATTGTCCTGTGGTTAGAATACACCAGGAACACAATTTTTATTTCCAGCCACATGAACAGTTTTCGTATACATATCACATTACACAAATAATTATTCCGTTTGGGGTTCGAACCCGCGGTATGCACATGCACAGTCACTGCGCTTACGGTACATTAACATATCAAAGAAGATTTCTTGTTTCAATTATTCACCTTTAGGAAAATCTTGAGGGCTGACAAGTTCACGGAAGAACGCTTGTGCTTCATACGGCCTTTCATTTGGTGTCATATTCGGTTTGAACCAGAAACGTAACGCTCGAGCCTCTCTCGTGTGTGTTCCTGTCGCGCCAGACACCAAATATACGTAGAATTCTAACTGCGCATGGCAAGGCTCAGTCACTCCATTCTCTGAAACACGAATACATAATTTATTATTACCAAATAGACGATAACAATGGCGATTTGATATTATAATATGCCTTAAGTCATCGTTCAAAGTAATTTTAAAATTATGACTGCCACACCGTTTGTTATAGTTTAAAATGTTATCTACGCTAAAAATAACTTTTTTTTGTTTCCTGTCTGTCTATTTATAACATTTAAAATTAAACATTATCCTCCTTTTAAGACTGCCTCGTTGACCGAGTGGTCGCAAGTGCGACTGCCGGGCAAGGGATCTCGGGATCGATTTCCGGGTAGGGCAATGTATTACTGGGTTTTTAAAAAAATCTCAACAATAGCCAAAAAGAATTACTGGGGTTTGTAAAAACCTCAGTAGTAGCACGGAGTCTGGAAATGTGGCCGGTATATGGTAATAGGCTCCCCCCTATTACACGGGACTCGTAACATAAATAGTGAAAAGTGGGTATTACATTGTACATTGGCATTAAGTGCTGTAATGTGCACCTCTGCCTATCTCTTCGGGGATAAAGGGCGTGGTGTTATTCTATGTGTTATCCTCCTTTTAACAACGAAAACGTCCAGAATGGGGAAACATATTTGTTTTTGGTAGTGTAATAAGGTAATACATTAAAAGGAAAATTCAAATACTTCTTTGGCTATAGTCATTGGCTTTCAACTATGAAAAAATATGGGTATCCACACCTTATTCTGTGCCACATAAATAAAATAGTACCTTATGGTATCGCGTGTCGGATAGCGTGCCGTAAAAACTGGGCCAAAGTAATGTTGAACTAATATTTATTGGAATTCACTAAAATAGTCGTTTATCATGAAAACCGCGACAAATAAATAGCAATAACTACGAAACTTTTTAATAATATGAATGCAATGCCAATATAAAAGTTTTTAAGTGTGGGAGAGCCATGCTTCGGCATGAATGGGCCGGCTCGGCCGGAGTGACCACGGCCTCACAGAAAACCGACGTGCAACAACGCTTGCGTTGTGTTTCGTCGTGTGAGTAACCTCTTACCGGAGGCCCAATTACCCCCTTTCCCAGTCCTCCCAATCCCCGAATCCCCCACAATCCTCAAATTCCTAATTCCCAAAAGGTCGGTAACGCACTTGTAACGCCTCTGGTTTTTCAGGTGTCCATGGGCGACGACGATTGCTTACCATCAGGGGACCCGGCTGCTAGTTCATCGGTTTATACGATAAAAAAAAATTAAAGACAGAAGAAAGTTTTGTTTTTCCTGTATCACAAGAAAGCACCTAGCATTTTTATAAACACAATGTACACAATATTTGTATTGAAATACTAGATTCTGCCAGGACTCCAGTGGGATAAAATGTAGCCTATGTGGTATTCAGACCATAATCTAACCCTGTTACAAATTTCATCACTATTCCTTGAGCTTTATTTTGACATGAGAGTAACAAACGATCACACAAATCCACAAACTTTATAATATTAGTAATATTTATATTATTAGTAATATTTATAATATTAGTAACATATCATCACGCTTTTTATCCCCGGAGGGGTAGGCAGAAGTGCACATTACGGCACTTAAACCCACTGTACAATGTAACACCCACTTTTCACTATTTATGTTATGAGTCCCATGTAATAGGGGGTGAGCCTATTGCCGTATACCGGGCACATATCCAGACTCCATGCTACTACTGAGGTTTTTACAAACCCCAGTAATACTTTGCCCATCCCGGGAATCGAACCCGAGACCCTTGTCCGGCAGTCGCGCTTGCGACCACTCAGCTGGCTAATATTATATAATCAATAAAATTATATAATAATAAAATATTACTGGGTTTTTAAAAAATTCTCAGTAGTAGCACGGAGTCTGGAACTGTGCCCGGTATATGGCAATAGGCTCACCCCCTATTACATGGGACTCATAACATAAATAGTGAAAAGTGGGTGTTACATTGTACAGCGGTATAATGTGCACCTCTGCCAACCCCTTTGAGGATAAAAGGCGTGATGTTATGTATGTATGTAATAATAAAATATTAATAAAATACTAATATTATATAATCAATAAAATTATATAATATTAGTAAGACAATACGAATACCAATTGAGCTATTAGACACACATTGTCTAATAGCTCAATTATAACTCGAAAATTGCATTAAATGAAATAAATTGTTCTATAGCAATATTGATAAATTAATTTGACATTCCAACATGTTTAACAAAAAGACAAATGTCTTATCTACTCATAACCATAACAATTACTTCAATAAGGAACAATACTCATTGTCTTAATTAATTAATTGACCAGCTGATAATTTCAAATTGTAGTTGAAGCATAATTTCATACTTAAATAGGTAGTAATTACTCATAGACCTATTTGTAGAGCTGTATGAGCTAACATAATTTTGAAATGAACACTATGTGTGTTTAAGGTTTATTATCCTTTGATGAGAAATATTAAAATTACTTTGTTTGTGTTTGTTATTGTTATTAGTATTACCGAGATTGACTTGCATTTAGGTATTTATATAAAATTAATTATAACAGAAAAACAATTTCGGTAATACAAAAAACTGTAGCATATGTAAATTGAATATTTATTGTTGTCTAATATTAATGTTCTTTATTTAAATTATCTACTTTTACTATAATAGTAATTAGGGTAATATGTTAAAATACCAAAAAAAATTGTTTTAACAACTAGTTATTTAGGTACATGGCACTTTTCTAAAAGGATTCCAATTAGAATCTTCAGATAGGTATTATAAAAGACTAAAAATGGAATCTTTTCCAGGAAAATCCTTAAAATTATATAATTTTACCAGATTATGACTATAATATAAGGATAATAATAATGTGAATTTATTTTAAACAAGCCTACAGGAAACAGCAAGGCCAATACTGATAACCTTTGAAACTGTTACACAGATAACATATTATATTTATAAAGTTACAATTATTTAAGCTTCATAGCATTTTCAATGTTCCAGTCTTGATGCATTAAAAATAATGGAATTTTGATAAGAATTGAAAATTGAATTTTTATTTAGTTCAGGCAGGCAGTTGAAACAACTGATATAAGTCATATCCCTGTATCATATTTTCTGTTAGTAGTTATTTATTTTATTCATTATCATAGTTATAATTTCTATTTAACAAGAGAAATATTGATGTTCAAAGAATATTTTTTTAAACTGCTACCAATAATTTATTAAATGATACAAGAAAAATAATGGAGGGAAAATTGTAAATAATAAAAGTACAGACAAAAAACATACCATAATTTTTTTCTTTATTTATGATGATCCCTGTATGGTCTCCTCCAGCCACATGGATTTTATCACTGGCTTCTGGTTCAACTGCTTTCCTCTCAATTACCAAGGTAGTCGAATTTGCAGTCTTACATTTTGGTGTCATCACCACTTTTTCTTCAACTTCCGCCATTTTCTTAGCTTCAAAGAAAAAAATTAAGTATAGCAACCACAAAGCACTGCTAAGGATTAGATCAGCATTACCAAATTACGAACTATGACTCATTCTTTCCTCCCTTTTTATTAGTTTCATTTTTAAGAAATTTAGTGGTCAAATGCTAAGAAATGACACCGTCCGTGTAACTCGGATAAAGACAGGATACTTCTAATTCGCTGTGGCTTTGTTAGATCGAACTTTCACAAGGTAATCGTGTTTAGATTATGCGAGGAGGTAGGTCAGGACAGGAAAGGCTGTGTGACATTGAAGCTACTATACCTTCACCTGTTGATTTCTTTTAGTTTGTTAACTTAAATTATTTAGGACATACAACTGATTTTCTTATAAGTACAAAAAATGTAATAAGAAAATGTGAATCGAACAAATCCGAGTTCAATAAAACTCACAATAATATTTTTGTTCGAATCGTGTAAATTCCTCCTCCAACCACCACAGGTTATAAACACTATAATGACATTAATGACAGTGACAAATGTCAAATCAAGCATAGTGTAGAAACCATACAAAGTTGTTCCAATACTGAAATAATCGACTAAACAGGAAATACAGCGATAGAATAGAAACATTATTTTATGCAATAAAATGCAATAATTCACAAATTATCAAGCGGTTTTTGTTTTAAAAATACTTTCTTCCAATCGCTGCCATTCGCTGATTAATTCATCACAGGCATTCACAGAACACATCACAACGAAAACAGTACTTTCTAACTTTCTATCAACCAAAATGTAATTACTGTTGTAAGTAAATTACTGTTGGAAGATGGGTAGGGCTTTAGTATGGGACGCCACTTGCGTTGATACTCTGGCGCCATCCCATCTTCCAAGCTCAGCGTGTCGAGCCGGTGCTGCCGCTGCCGCTGCCGAGAACCTCAAACGGCGAAAGTATAATAGCCTGATTGGCAATTATGCTTTCGAACCGTTTGGGGTTGAAACTTTAGGGCCGTGGGGCCCAAGTGCACATCTTCTTTACAAAGATATTGTAAGGAGGATGGTTGACACTTCAGGTGATCGAAGGGCTGGCTACTACCTTGGGCAAAGGTTAAGCATTGCCATTCAACGTGGCAATGCTGCCAGTCTTTTGGGCACCCTACCTCACGGTAGCGATGAGGAAAATATTTTCTTTGATGCCTTATAATTTATTTATTTTTTTTTTCATTATTATTATTTTTTCATTAGGTATTATTATTTTTTTCATTATTATTATTTTTTCATTATTATTATTTTTTAAGGTGTAAATATTTTAGTATTAATTAGTTATTTATAGAATAAATAAGAGTATAGAGATAAGATTTATTTTGTAACATGAAAAAATAAAGATATTTTTTCCGTTATTGCCTTGTGAAAAAAAAAAAAAAAAAAAAAAAAAAAAAAAAAAAAACCAAAATGTCAAGCATATGCAAATGTCAATGTCAACTGTCAACTGACGTACTGGATACGTGATGAGTGAGACTGATTACGAAGTTCTATTTACTCATTTTCAAGTTGCTTTATATTGAAAAAACCGAATTAAGTTAACTATCAACTTCGTGATACTTATTTTAATACGTCCTAAAGAATATTTTTCTAAAAATGGATCTCAAAATCTGTTTCGTAGTTTTACTTTTTTCATTCATAAAACCAAGCAGCGAAACTTTACAAAGTGTGAGCGATGATGATCTCCTTGAATTAATTAGGGAAAAAGAAAAACTTATTGTCTTATTTAGTAAGTATTAAGTATTAAAAGTTATTCTATTTGCATGTATACATTATTTAATATTGCTTTTATGAGAATGTTTTGCCGCCGCCCGGTGTAAAATGACGACTTACTAAAAAAATAAACAGAAAAACATTTCCGTAATGTCCGTAACCTCTCCAGCAGTGAATAACTCATTAATAAATATACTAATAAAATCTAATAGGATACTTATTAGAATCAAGTGAACCCTTTTTCTCTCAAGTGATTGACAAAAAGAAACAACTCAACTAAGACAAAAATGCTATCAAAAAATATTCACTCCTTTTTTTAGCAAATTGCTAAGAAGAGTTTCTATTTACACTATACTTCTTCAATTATATTTTTCAGGCAAACCTAACTGTGATACATGCAAGGAATTGGAAAACCATGTTGAAAGTTTAGAAAATGATTTTAAGAAGGAATTGAATGCTGTGAGTGTTAAGGCAATCAACAGTCACCTAAGTAGACTGTATAACCCGGCTAAGGATCCTGCGCTTGTGTTCTTTAGACATGGGGTACCTTTATTGTACAGTGGTAAGTATTTTAGTTAATTTGGTTGGATTGTTTTGGCATTTTATTTTGCTGTAAGCCACTTATTTGTAATTATTTCCTAATTAAAGAGCTATAAGTTTACTCATTATTTTACTAAATACTTAAGAAAACCTGTATTTTATTCGGAAAAAGACTAAATTATTTTATTCTTTTATGTGAGCTTTGTTTGGCATTAGTATACTGTATTTAGTAGTGTAATTGTATTTTTTTGTACCATGCTATTCATATAAATAAAAAGATATAAGTGTTTTCTAGGTAGCCATTATGACTTATTTTTAAACTTTTCAGGTGAGTCTGACGAGAATGAAATTTATGGTTTCTTCGAAAAGAACCAGGCACCCGCAGTGAAAGAGTTGACAGATAAAATATTTGAACACATCACCCAGGCAGCTACTGGCGCAACTACTGGCGATTGGTTTGTCATGTTGTGAGTATCACTATATTGAATAAAAAATAATGTTTGTGTAATTCCTACAACATTATACCCTGGTCAGTGAAGGTCTCCTTTAAGATGCAGCATTTTTGCCAATCTTTTGCTTAACACCTAATTCAGATACTAAACATATTAACTTTACGAAACCCCCTAATATAGAGTTGGACCATAGTTCAGCAGAATTTTTTATGTTAATTAAGTAAACTGCAAGGCAAAAATACCAGACACTAAATGACACATGACTCCGATACTTAGTGTAAAATAAGCGGTAAAATTAAATATTATGTAGATATATGTATAGTATTTGTAACCTGAATTATTTATATTGTATTATTGTCTATTTTACTATGGGCCAAACTGCCGATGATAAATAAAATAAAAAAGCTCTCTTACAGTTTTTATTTGGAAGAGAAATACATACCATCTTTACTGTTGAAAAATTCATTGCTAATTTGTTCAATATATTTGCAGCTATGGTGCTTCATGTGTAGAATGCCAGAGGTTACATGCAGTTTGGGAAAGTGTGGGTGCGACTTTGAAAGGTCGCATCAATGTAGCACGCATGGACGCAAACTTAGCTGGAGTAAACACTGCAAAGAGGTTCAATGTCAACAAACTACCTAGTTTTCTATTGTAAGTACCTTTCAAATTACCATAAAATTTATATTTTAACATATTCAATTTATTTTTATTCAAACTTCTATGTAAATGAAAATTAATGGTACCCTAGGTAGACTTACTACCTACTTGTGCATAATACTGAATTAATGAGATGTATTACGTATGTAATGAATAATGAATTACATCATCTTCCTGTAAAATAACCATAAATGTATAAAGTAGGCACTGTAATTAATTAGTTAGTACTAAGCACTGTAGTGCAAACATTGCTATTGATTATGCGGCTACCTTTTAATACATTATTCACTGCATCCATTTACATTTTTAATTGGAAAATGTAAATGCTAATTGAAAACTCAGAATTCACACATTACTAAAGAATAAATCTTTTGAAAAATTGCCTAGTATAGAAATATATTATAGGCTGCTCGAGGCCTAGTAGGCCTGTAGTACATCATCATCATCATCATCAACAGCCTATAAATGCCCACTGCTGATCAAACCCTCTTCTCACACGGAGAAGGTCTGTAGGCCTGTAGTACAATGGCCTTTAATTCTCTTGGATGAAAATGAAAAATCAAAGCAGTGGTTCCGGGGATCATATTGAACCAAGCAAACTAATATAAATATTGATAAATTATCTCTCTTTACGAATTTTATTGATAACTATAATATTTATAAAAGAAACAATTGTTTTTTAGCTTCCGTCTCGGCAAAGTGTACCGGTTTGATTTACCCAAAAAAGATGTAAAATCCTTTGTCATATTTGCTCAAGACTGGTATAAGAATGCTAAAGCTGAACCTGTGCCGTTACTGGCATCACCATTGTAAGTATTTATAATCCTAATGAACCTCTTTTTAAATATTTTTTAGAATAAAAAAAAAAGCTTGTAAGTAATTAACTATTATAATAAAATTATATCCACGTAATAAATTCATAGGTAAATAAGCCACCCTAATGCAGAACTGAAACCTCTTCTAACATAGTAAAGGATTCATCACTAGCCTTAAAAAAAAAAAGAATGTTACCATTTTATTTTTTTACAGTGACGAATTAGTGGACTTGGCTGTCCAAATGATAAAAGTAAGTGTGGCATTTACCCTGGACACGTTAACTGAGCATCCATGGATATGGCAAATAGGAGTAGCAGGCTTTGGTCTAGTAGCCATAACTGCTATCATAGCTTTATACAAAGCGGGAAAATCAAGACCATCAAAAGACTCAAAAAAAGAAAAGAAGAGTAAATAAACTTTTTAATATTCTTTTTTATAGCAACTACAAAACTTATTTTTTACGCATTTATGTTTTTATTTATACTTTTTTATACAATTTGCATTTACTTGTGATGTAAATATTACTTGGTGATATTGGGCCTGAATGAGTTAACTTGTTGATATCTAGATGTTTATATTTTAATAATATTACAGATAACTATGTATAGTATATTAGTATCAGTGTTAAGAACACATGTGTACTATCTCTCATATCAATACCAGTGTTTTATCAGAGTAATTAAAGACTTAATGTAGGTCATATAAAAATAATTTGTTACATAATGAAAAACTTTCTCAAAAGCATTTATTACATCCATTTTATTGTTCTATAATTCTTAATTGCAGAATGTATCGTTGTTATGTTATAATATAGATCCAATTTATAATGTTCAAAAGGTAGAGGAAAAGTATTATTATAAAAAATAAAAACATATTGAGTTCATTACTTATTTTTTATTTCCCGTGCATTTTCTTAATAAATAAATAAATAGCAAAAGCCACAAACAACATTCATATCTGTACCTATAATTAAATTATTGCAATAAGATCATAAACGTGATATAAATATCATTTCAACATCCTTGCCCTACATACAAATATAGCAACATTGATCTCGTACAATGTGGACATAGATAAACTAATATAATTCATTCAATAACATGACAACATAATATTATACCTAAGTGTGATGTTTAAACTCCCTTTTACATAAATATCTTTAGCTATAAAACAATTATGTGCATAATAAAACTTTGCATTTGAAACAATTATATAACACACTGTGTAATATTCTAGTTGCAAATAACAATAGTAAGAATGTAGTAAAAATACAACATATAGATGTGTGATACAGTTTATGTGCATTTGGATAAACAAACATAAGAAAGTGAACAACTTAATATAAATATAGGAACCAATGTTAACTATGTATATTGGTTACTATTACTTTTATGAACTGTTGAATATGGTCTGAGAATAAAATCACAAACAACTGTGACCTGTACACATTAGTAACACACATTCTGAAAAAATAATTGATTTAGTACAACTTTATAGTACTTATGTACAAGTACAGACTATTGTTTTATGTACTTTGAAAATATCAATTCCTTGTGCAAATATGGTTTGTTAAATTCAACAAAAAAATATAATTTAATTCAGGTGAAAGAAAGCATTAAGTAAACATTTCATTGTAATTAAAACACCAAGTATTCAAAAGTTATTTAGTAAAAATATCTAATTCTTGCATTATCTAAATAGCTAACCACACTTATTGTACTTCAAACATACACAAAATTAGCTAAATATTGCACTATTTTTAACTAATTAAAACTAATTGGTGTCATCGTGTTAGTGAACAGAGAGATCAGAAAGTACCTACATAATATTAATATAATTAATTATGTTAGACTTAATTAATGGTCCTCCAATACCTATATCCACCATTCATTAAAAAGAAAAATATATTAACAAGAAAATCTTGAATGTCTCGTTTAAAAAGATTGAATAAAATAGGTATGTTGATTTCTGTCATGGTGTGTTCCGTTTATCAGAAAAACAATGTTTCTTATAATGATATTATCAATATCAGTAAACAATATGAAGCAAATAAAGCTATAAGGCGATTAAGTATCACACATTTTACTATAACTCAGTCTTATGTACTGAGTTCGAAAATGTTTGTGCCATCTCTCCATTTATTAGTAATTCAACACAATACTTTCAGAAAAACTTATACATTATCTACTTCAACGTTTATCCTAAACACTGAAGCAGGGTCTGCCAGTTCAATGCGCACGGCATTTTCAAATTTCTTAAAAATATCCGAGAACTCCATGATATTCGCTGGTTTCGATTCTATCCACATTTTATCAAACTCATAGAATAAATAGCAATAGAATTTGTGAAATAAGTTTACATTAGGCAAACATTGTTTTGCATTGAACATGTATGTTTTTGCAGAACCATCTTGCAGTAAGTAGTAAGCCATTGATGTGATATTTATACCAACTATAGCATATGTGTAGCCATATCTCGGATGTAGTGAATGGCTAAGAACATGACTTGAAACTTGCGGATACTCTGTGGCAAAATATAACAGGTTTTCTAGACCAAGGAGGCCCATACCACGAAAGTCTGTTTTTGGATCATCTCCCTGAAAATAATAAACAAAATGACATCAGTTTTGAACATAGGCAATCAGAATTTACTCAATGAAAAGTCTGCAAGGTATGAAGATGTTGTAAGATGCATACCTGGAATCCTATATACTGCCATTGCTTAGTCACCCTAGCTTCAAGAGGAGTGTCAGGCACTAACAAAGACCATAACTGCAGCAACTTATTCTCATGATCGTCATTAGTGCTATCAAACTGAGTCTGTCTCAGCTGTTCCACTTGGTCAATTAGACTTCTATAACTCCAAATTTGCTCCAAGCATCGTCGAAATGATACCACAAACGTACCATGAAGCTTTGGGTTAATTTTCTTTACCCTCAATATGATACCAATCGAGGGGTCCAAAATGTCACGAAAATAGCGCGGTATGAATCTCCTTTCATACACTACACCGTCTAAGTAAGCAACCACCTCTTTTACATCTCTGGTACGCGATTGCATCAATGATTTCTCTACATTACGGGTTCTTTCTGCTCCCGGTTTGTCACCGTAACAAATCCTCTGCAGTTCACACAGCTTCGTCGTTTTTCTAAGAAACCATTTAATGAATGGTCGCAGATACCATTGTAACACTGACCATAAGTTAAACACAATCATTTCTTCAATACTAATTACACAAGACACTTCGGCATGTATCGAATAGTTTGAAATTATATTTTTTCGATCGTTTCGGTTTCACACGGTTGTCATGACCACACATTTTTTTTAAATAAATCTACTTAGGGATGTACTATGACAGAACTGATACAGCTAACGTCAAAATAATCGACTAAAGTTTGCATTACATCGATTGCACTATTTTCGCAATTATTGTCACAATTGAAAGGGTACAGCAGTACCTTCTTAAATTATGTTTTTTTTAATTAATATCGTTATAATATAAGTATGAAAGGTAGAAATAAATTGAAATAACAGACGACTAATAAATTACTAATTTACTAAAACCATTTGACAGTCACACAATTTGAAGTTTTAATGTTGCTCACTACAGAATACAGATGGCGTAGTGCTGCGAATTTATTATTTTTATGATTTTAATCTGCAACCATGCAACCATCTCCAACGTACTTATGATGCCTGTATTGTTGCAAGTGCCTGCATTGATGTGTGTACTAATGTTTAAAGATAGTAAAGATCATGATGAACATCTGGCAGCCCATGAGCTTGGTAGCCCATGGGATATTTTTTCGATAAAGAATTCAATTCAATTTCTAGCTTCTGCCCTTGACTTCGTACGTGCAATCCCGTTTTTTCCGGTTCCCGTATGATTTTCAGGATTTTTTCCTGTGTTAAGAACCTTCTCCTAATCATAAAAGAATTAGTGAATTCGGTCCAGAGCTCTATACAGTTTGCTATTGAATAAATGAAGGGTAAGTAAATAAAACGAAACATATCGAATTTGTGTTTTTATTTGATGAAAATTGTAATTCATAAATTTTACATTAAAATTATTTACAATGCCATAATACAACACGAACGGGCGGTCAGCGCACTGACTTCACAGTATTTACAAAAGCAAAATTGTATTTATTTTGTCTCCGCAATTATATCTGATAACAAAACTATTCGGTATAATTTAATCTACATATAATTATAAATAATCTTTAAGAGCAGAAGGCAGGGTTCCATTGCAATTAAAAAAATAATGTGTAGGTAGTGTAGATACAGATAGCATACCTACATTTTAAAAGTCAGGTCACTATTTTTTTTAATTTAAAAATCTAATCACAGACAGTAACAAAACGCATAATTTCAATAAAGATTTTTTATTAAGACAACTTTTATAACAATATTAACGTCGCGTCGTTTCATTCTTTACATTTTCTCAAACCTACATTTTTAGTTGTCTTTCTTAATTTTAAGTTTATGCGTAAAGAACTGCATCATGACGGATTTTATTATGAAAATATTAATTGAATACTTATATATTATTTATTATCTAAGTAATTGCTTGATACAAAATATCATCTATTTGAAGCAAACTAGGTAACTTGCTTGTAATGCTGTCTCTACATGCGCACGAGTCGTTTTAGAATTTTTTCGATATAGGTTTATCTATTTGGATGGATCATTGGATATTTAACCGAAAATATTAATTAATTCTAACTAGTTTGTTTTTCTAATTGCCTATTCATGAATAATTTGAAAGTAAAGCTGCGTCAGCGTTGGCTGCATGAGGAAATAGACTTCTTGTCTCAGCTCAAATTACTCGGAAGAATCAAAAGATTATTACATTTATTTTAACCTACTGTCTGTTTTTATTAGCCTTTGTTTATTACTCCCGTCAATAGGGCTTCGCGATAAGTATTACGCATATTCTCATAGGGATGCTAGATAATCAAGATTTTTATTTTACTATAGGAATAGAAGAAATTTTAGGAAAAAAGAAATTGAAATAAATTTTGGTCCCGGGATATTTTTTAGGTTCTAACTAGGTAAGTTTTTAGGATATTTGATTGAAAAGTTTAGTTCGTAAAGATGATAATAATTACCTAGGTTATCTTGACTTGATTGAAAATTTATCCTATGTCAAATAGTCTAGTTATTGCTTATGGTTTCTGCATGAAATTTGTCAGCTGTTGGAGTCTAATGCCGGAATACTGAAACGTTACTCAATTTTAAGTCGTGCTCAAATATCGTGCCATCTCTGTCATTTTACAAAGAATTTGTAGAGATAGAACTATACTTAAGCACGACTTAAAATTGAGTAGCGTTTCAGTATTCCGACATAATTATGTTGTAAAGATAATTTTACTTGTAATATTGCAGTGTCAGAATTATGACGGAATAGTTTCAGTAGGTTTTAATAGTTTTGCCTTCATTAAAAATTTTCTTTTGTTGTTGTAGCTCCGTAATTTATGTGCAAACACTATCTATTAAAGCTTGCACTATTACAAGTGCTGTAGCTAGCTTTGCTCAATCATAATTTTTAGTGTTACATAGTCATCTATGATATCTATTCCAAACTAGTTTAATAATTATTAAACTTAAACAGGTTGCATTAAATAATTGTAATTGAATCTCTGAGTTGTCAGGTACATTCAGAGTGGGCGCCAAAAACAGAAAATAATAAATATTAATGTTGCATTTTTTTTTATAAACTGGTTTGTAATGGCCAGAGGTAGGATAAACCTTTAATAATACCAAATTCAATGCGATTAACAACAGTATTTTACCTAAAAATTCACGATTTACCAATATTAGGAATAACCAGGTGTACCAAAGCTTTATTTTCTTTTCGCGTATTTGAAGCACGGCAGCGCCATCTATGATTATTAGTTTCATAAACGTCAGAGTTTACGTTTTATAATTATTTATTTAGAAGTCGTTTCATGCGAAAAAATAGAGACTATAAATCAAATATAATTACAATATTAAGTATTATTAACAATGAATTAGTATAATTTTAATACAGAACAGTTTCATTGTTTATTTAGGTATCTCACTAATGTCTTTTCATGCATCAAAATGTTGATCCTTAATACTAGACTAGGTAATTAAAGTAAGCTATACATTGTATCTACATTTGTATATTAACTATGTTTTTTGCGAAAACCAGCAACGCAATGTGCTAGGGTCCTTATAACGCTAGTTTATTCTATAATTTGCAAATTATGTTGAACACTTTCTAATTAGGTAGGTAAATAAGTTGCATTCAAAATGTGTTAAACATTTTTCTAATTTTAGCTATTTGTAAGAATTTATTTAAGACTGTTTTTTTTTTGTTCAACCGGTTAGCTATTTACCAGGGCTGGAAGGCTTGACAGATTGATTACGGATTGACGAACCAAATCGGTCGTTAAGTCTGAATTATCAATAATAGATTCCAACTTTATTACAGTAAGGCACAAAGTTTAAAATCTATTAAAGATTAGCTGAATCGGCAAACTCCGTACCGCCTAAAATATCACCTTTTAAACCTTCCCTGGACTTCAACGAACTTTTCAAGACCAAATCGATTTTTCTCGAGTTTAAGCGATACTAACGAACGAATATATTTTTTAATTATATAGATATTCATTAATTTGCCGGAACAAACTCTGACATTAAAATGCCTAAACAAAGCAACTGGGAACTAGAATAATTAAAAAGAAAGCTTGTTTAGTAATTGATGCGTACCTACCTAATCATTGGTTCTATTTTTATTTAATGCTATCCAGACTGAGATAAACCTTATGCCACATCATTAAGGGCTGTTCTAAAATTTATTTTCGATAGCACTCATTTTATTATTGGAATCATTTTGGACCTAGTAATTATTTGACTTTCATTTAAATTATATGACCCACTTTGCGAGTTTGACTTTGACTTGACTTTGAATCTGCGAGACGAATTGCTGATGGCATATGAGCTTACACATACTTAGATATTTTTTTGTAATGCTTCTAGTAAAATTTGTATTAGTTTTAATAAGGATCTATTTAGTCTCAAATCGCGTATCTTCTTCGATCGCGTTTTACATCGTGAAACTGGTAAAAATACACCACCAACTTAGTATCCGTTCAACTTTGAATCATTATGACGATTTCTCTTCTTTATATAAGTAATGGCATCAAAATATAAATTAACACCAGTCTGTATAGCATCGCTGCTAAATCTAAGGCAGGCATCATACAATTGCACCAGCCTCATCAGGCTACAATTATGACTCTACACATATTATTGTTTTTATGGTACAGCATAATTATATGGTACATAGTCCCTATATAATAATTTTTCGCTTATTTTATACACTTATATTTAAGCGGCTTATATTTTAAGCCTAATCTCTCATTTCCAGCAAAGCGTTTTATCATAATAAGTACCTTTTCACATGCTTCAGTATACGGGTAGTCGGTACCGGGTACCGGACAGCGAAGTGTAGAACTATGTACCTATGTACGTCAATTTTTATAGCCATGTCGTTTGTTGCGCAATGCTGGTCATGACTATAAGCCCCTTGTATGACTCGAAACAAGTCGAGTTACATCGTCAAACAGTTGTCGGTTACCCAGCTACTGAAGCATGTAAAAAGGCCCTTATACTCTTAAGTGTGTCGTTCAGTTACATGCACTGACATAAATGACTAGAAAATGTGAACAAGAATATTATAGAAAAATAAATATCCATAGATAGATACTTATTGTAGGTGGATAGTATTTTCTTTAGTGTAAACAAGATGCTCGAAACTTATTTAATACTCTCGTGTTGCTTAAATAATCTTATTAATAAACAAACATATTTTTGTAATATTTAATACATAGGTAACAATAACATCTCATTTAAACAATAATTCCAATAAACATATTTAAAGGAAAATATAATCTTTTGAAGTTAACAGCTTAAATTTTAGAATAATTTAGACTCAATACCATAAAATTAACATTATACAGTTTGGACTAGGCCCAAATAATACTCAGGTGATAAATAAACAATTTATTATTACAGAAATAAGCACCGAAATAGGAAATACGAAGGTTTCACATGCCGGTGACCGTAGACAAAATGGAGGAAGCGAGCAGTGCACCATAAATATAGATCATTTCCAAATTCAAATAGATCCATAAACAATATATAAAATATAAAACAGCAATTCAAAAATGTTGCCATAACTAACGTTCTCTCGACACGTAATTTACAAAAAACGAAGTGCTTCACAATACAAACAATATCTACTCATATAAAATGTATAACTTATACATGTATATACATATATGTAAAGGCAGCATAGAATAAATATATAATTTTATATTTTAAACAGGATAGCACAATATCATAGGTACAAGGTTGAATCTTATAAAGCGAATGATATGTAACTTTATCTTACATTTTAAATAGTACCTATATAAAAACGTAACGAATTTAAAATAGTATCACTTTGTATCTATCCAAATTTTAAGGGAATGGTCTCATTGTACATTATGTCATTGAACTTTTAAATACTGTCGAAACGTAGGAGAACAGTAATTTTAAAAGAGATCACAAGCAAATGATTGCACAGATAATAAATAGTAGGTAATGTGCCGTTAATTGATATTTATTATTGCAACTGATATTTGTCAAATATTGACTCTTTTCATAAGTACTTGACTGCGTTATATAACACGTTTTTAATTATATATATAAGTGTGTAATAACACTTAATTATAGGTACATAAGGCATCCAAGCTTTATTATAATATACATTGTATGGACACCCCACGTTTCCCAAAAGAAATTGATCGATGCATTACGCACAGCCGAAAGCGTTGTTTTAAATTTTTAATTCAATCGCAGGTACTCAGCATTTGACCACCCGTTACAATGAGTCGAAAGAAAATGAAATAATAATATTACATATTCAATTACTTCATCAGGCATCCCTACATTTTTCAATATTATAATTTGATTTCAAAGCACAGCCAAAATGCCCTTTCTTATAATTTATTGTTTTATAATAATTTAGATATAAAATCTATGTTTCAAAACAGTTGACTCCTTGGTCCACTTATTTATAAGCAAAAGGCATAATTTCAATGGTGTTTAATTAAACGTCAAGTTTATTAATCAAATGTTTTACTGAAGTTACGTGAAACAAACTTACTTTTCCTTCAAACCGTGCTATTGTTTTTGAACAAACTGTATTTAAGTTACATAATCGAAATATGCATCCTACAGATATACAGATTCGGGAACTAAAGCGCGTTGCGGTATTGGACAAAGTTATCGTTAATTAATAGATATATTTTTACTTAAACGGCTTCTAGCATTGTGGACACTACATAATACCTAGGGTGTGATGATAGAGGACAATATTATTCATATTACAAATACCTTAACGTGTGAATACTTACGCAACAAATAAAGTGACGGTATGGTCTCACAGCACAATATTCTCGATACTTTACACACGTATCTCGTTACAATATAATATTCCATTAGGGTACTTCCTTACGTATTGATAGGTGTAACTTTATTCCATTATTATTTACAGCCGGCGTTATCAATTTCTGTATTAACCACTAATATTATATCAGGCAAAAATAATTCTTTCACATGTAGAAGGCATGTTCATGGTACAATATCAACACAGTCGGCATACACCAACGTGCTCTCGTTTGGAATAGCGTGAACTCATTGGTACAATACATTTATATTAGAATTTAAAGATAATAATGACTTGAGCTTCATCTATGCATCTACAGCTATTTTTACAATACTCCGAATTATAATTATTTCGAAACTTAATCACTTTACTTCAAATGATACGGCGATCATATTCTACGTCTCACCTTTACAAAGCAATAAGTAAACATTATTATAATTATCACAACATATGTAGGTGTTGGTTTGGACAAACTATTCTCTATGGTGACTATCTTCTAATAATAAATATAAAAAGTAATCATGTCTTTTGCTATCTTACTAATATAATAATAACTTAAAAGCAATAAATACGCTAGGTCTGTCTTTAGGTTTGAAATAGATTTCTTGTTTCCTGCACATTGAAGGCAGCTCCCCTTATAAACTCCACTAGATCATCTCTCTAAATTCATACAAAATCCGATGTCCGAATCACGTTGATACAAGAATTTTCATACAATTACATAAGTTGATCCCTCTTTATCCTATCATAAGTTTTCGTGTATTCACAAGAAAGTAAATCTACGCGTAGATAATTACATTATAAACGTCCGTCAATGAACTCGTAGAAAACTATTTCAAAACCTGTAGAAAAATCGCACTCCTCAATTGATTGACGTCAAATTATGGAAAGCCGCGACGTTAGCTTCCTGCTTCAAGTCTCTTAAACTATAATTACCTTAACAGTACGATCACTATAAACGGGTATAATCACAATTCTTATCGACCGTTGACAATCATCAAATATGTATAATAATAGAGTGAGTAGCTTAATCTCATACATATTTGTGTCGCAGTAAAGAATAGTAGAAAACACAGTAAATGTCCGTTCACACGAAGCGGCCAGCGACAGCGGTAAGTGGAGGCAGCATTAAGAGAACGCCTTATAGTGAATGAAGAAGAAGATGAGAAACACGGCGTAGGCAGTGGGGAACGTGATCCGCGCGATCACGTCGATCGTCTTCGCCACGCGGATCGGGTGCGGCGGTTCTTTTTTGCGAACCTGGACGAAACATGGCTGAAAGAAATTATTATGCAAATGAATGATGATACCGAAAGCCGCTACCGTGTATAACAGGCTAATGGATCCGTGAAACTGTGTCACTGTACGACTTACGAATCCTACGGCGTATGTAGACTGTAGTAGGCACTTGATTTCAAATTGAATTTGCCATCATGTGTTGTATCTACGCGACTGCGTGAACATAAATTATAGCTTGATCGAATGCAATTAATGTTCAAGCTGAAAATATTTACTCGCAAGCTTTCTTTACTTGTGGTAAATAGTGAGAGATGGCTATGGAGTTGTACGTGTTCTAAAATAAACAGGGATGTGGTCATACGCAAAATATTGGTAAGATTATGTTAGCGTCTGAGAGGAGGGACGGTTACCTCCGACACTCCGCCATTGTTGGCGGTGTGAGTGCAGGCACCCGGGCCTGTACACGCTGTGCACGACACTAGGTCAGCTCCTCCTGTTGACTCACGCTTTTTATCTCCCTGTAACACCAAATTAAAATATTGTTTTATGTTCTACCTCTTCAAATTTACCACACCCACCACAAGCATAAAACAATCACTCATTCTTCCCAGTAAACTACCACACTTCTAAAAATGATGACTGATCTTGGAAGCACGTTTTGGTTCAGCCAATAATTATATAATAATAATAATAATAATAAAAATCTTTATTTTCTCAAAAATACTCTACGGATACAAATTATATAATATATTACAATTAAGAGACTGGTGTCTGTTAAAGGTATAACCTGTGTTACAGATCACCAGGCCCGGGTGACCCCCGGAGACATTGAACAATATAAAGTATTTACTTAACTAAAGAAAATGGACAACATTGTATGAGTGAGTATTTACTGTGGGTGTGTAACAATGTAGTGTGAGTGCGTGTGTATGTGAGTGAGTGAGTTGATGTGTATTATGTGTGTTATGTGTGGGTGTGTATAGGGAAGTGAATGAGGTGGAAGTGTTGATATGAATGTAGTGATTGATCATCAGTTGTAGCTTAGGAAAGTGGTCTCAGAATTTTTTCAGTCTCCTCATAGTCTAGTTTAATTAACCAGTCGCTGACGCTTTCTTTACATTTACTTTTAGTGAGAGAATGAATGGTTAGCTCTTTATTTATTTTGTTATATAGGTATGGGCCTAAAAAAGTAAAGAAGTTTTGAGTGAAGCCAAAATGTTTTCTTTCTATATGGCAGATGGTAGTAAGTCTTCTCCTGCTTGTAGAATTATCCGAATTAAATGGTAGTTGAGAGTGCATTTTTAGAACGGTGTACAGGATGAAAAGCTGGCGAACTGTCAGAACATTGAATCGCTGGTATAGATCATAGGTTGGGTGACGGAAAGGCAGGAATAAACTTACTTTAAGGATGGCCCTCTGGGCTCGTTCTAACTTGAGTAAGTAAGATTTAGCTGCACCACCCCACGACGTTATGCAATAGGTAAAGACGGATTGACATAAGGCATAGTATACAGTTTTAATTATTTTGCTATCTGCTACATGGCGAAGATTCCTAAAAATATAGATTAATTTGCGGGTTCTGGTGGTTAGTGCCTCAATATGTAATTGGAAGTCGAGTTTATCATCGATAATAACACCGAGGTATTTGATGTTGTTTGTTTTTTTTAGTTCAGGACAGTGACATGTTCCTGGAGCAGTTATGTGGCAAGTGTGTGCGGTTAAATGCAAGTTTGTATGTTCCTGCGTTCTTTTACTATAAGTCATATACATAGTTTTCCCAACATTGAGTGTGAGTAGATTCTTATTAAGCCATCGAGTTACTTCGTCAAGACCCTGTTGAGCCCATCTAAACGCGTCTTCCCATGTGTCACTATGAAAAAGTAGGGCAGTATCATCCGCAAATGATACGATTTTTCCATTCGTCAATTCTGTTTGACATAGATCGTTTATGTAGACTAGAAACAATGACGGGCCAAGGATACTACCCTGTGGGACGCCACATTCAATAGGTAATTCATCGCTTACCCAGTTCTCAACTTTAACCACCTGGGTTCTTTCATGCAAGTAGTCCTCGTATAATTTCAGCTGTAACCCTCTTACTCCTAGGTGGTCAAGTTTTTTGATCAAGATGGGAATAGATACTGTGTCGAATGCCTTTGCTAAGTCCAGATATATCGCTATTGTTTTATTCTTTTTATCTAAATTTGAAACAATATAATCTGTTACCAGATGTACTGCGTCAGAGGTAGATCTTTTGGCACGAAAACCAAACTGGGACTGAGATAGGAGATTATTTTTTTCTAGAAATGTTACTAGCCTATTATTCATCAGCCTTTCTATAATTTTGGACATGGTTGGCAGAATAGAGATAGGTCTGTAGTTGTTGACACAGCATCTATCCCCACTCTTGAAAACTGGAGTAATTTTAGCTTTTTTAAAGGCTCGTGGAAAGACTCCCGTTTCGAAGGACTTATTGCATATGAACGTTATTGGTTCAGTAAGAATATTTACATATCTTTTCAACAAACTGCCTGATATATTATCAAGCCCTACCGCACAATCATTTTTTAGATTTAAAATAAGAGATTTAACTTCATCTTCGTCTGTGGGTAGAAGAGCCAGTGATTGAGGGAATGAATCTGTATCACTGAAGTCAGCTTGGAAAATGGGGTTATTTAACTTACATTTTTCTATTAGAGTCTTTCCTATTGTTGCAAAATATGAATTTACTTCGTTTACAGATTTAAGAGGATCTTCGGGTGAAATTAGTTGAGTTGATTGTTCATTCACTCTTTTCGTATACGTTATGTCTTTGATAATATCCCACAGTTTCTTGTTATTTTTACCTGCGTTGTTTATTCTATCTTTTTCATATGTGTTTTTTACTTTCTTAAGAATATTGTTGCAGAAGGTTCTATATCTTTTATATGTTACTTGCATAATGTCATCGTTAGGGTTTCTTTTCGACTTTTTATAGAGGTTATCGCGATTTCTCATGCACCTCAGAAGACCAGGAGTAATCCATGGCTTCAGGATATGTTTGCGCCTAGTAGTGGTAACTAGTCTGGTATTGTGATCAAGTGCGTGATTGAAAGTGGATATTAAATAGTCCGTGGCTTGGTTGACATCCAACATCTCGTACATTGGTGTAAAGTCGATACTTTTAATAGCGCTATCAAGACCATCTATATTTATTCGCTTGTGTTGGTGTTTCAGACGTTTATTATTTATTTTTGTTTTCATAAAAAGTATTACACACTCATGGTCTGTTATAGATGAATTTGGAACATAGCAGTGCGCGGTTAGTTTGGTTTTCAAAAGTATGTGGTCTAAACAAGCTCGGCCATGTGTTGGGATGTTGTGCCCTGGTAGCATACCATGAGAACTAATGAGGTTAAGATAAACAAGTGATCTATGGTCTTGATTGTCTGCAGCAATATCAATGTTCAAATCACCAACTATAACTATATTTTTAAATGTTGAACAACTGCGTAGACAATCGTCGAGCGATTTTAGGAAATTGTCTATATTTTTGTAGCTGGGTGGTCGGTAGATCCCGAAAATTATAGTGTCTGCATTTAATTTAAAGATTAAGCAGTTGGCATCTAGAAAATCTGGCTCAGTACACGTCGCGTCAATTCCATTCCTATAGTAAATAACTACCCCTTCGTTCTGCGTTTTATTTTTGTTAGTACAGAAGTAATTATACCCGTCCATATGTGGGATGTTAGGATTACGCGATAGCCAGCACTCGGTCAAAACAACGACATCCCAATATATTCTAGACCTATTAATTAATGTTTCAAAGTTTACTAAGTTACAGTTTAAACTCCGGATATTTTGCGATATAACTTTTAGATTGGTTGCAGTATTCAACTCCATCTTATAGCAATCATCTATACTGCAAGACTCAGATTGGGCTACCGATATGGAGTCGAGGTCATTATTGATGTTATTAGCGAATTCAGCCATATTTGTGAGGAAATAACAATATGGTGCATCTAAGTGAAAGCATACAGAGCTTTTTCATATTAAATATGCACGTACATGTATGCAAATAACCCCAAAATAGATTAGTCTTCGTGTTGAGAGTTACTATGATGAGATGAGTATGTAAGATACAACTAATGTGTAAGCAACTGTGGGTTTGTGAGAGGTGTTTGAGAGTGATATGTTTGTCCAATAACGTTACAATTAGATTATAGTAACATAAAATTAAAGTCAAAAAAGTAATCAAATTAAAAATCGACATCGAGAATGAAAATGGAATCAAAGTCAAAGTTTGACTCAAAATTAAATTTAAAGTTACAATTAAAATAGAAAAAATTACAGATACTATAATTGGAATGACAGTAATAACTAGTCACAAGCTTAGTTTGTTTCTAAGTTCCTTTATATCGTCTTCTCCATTCAAACGCCGTGTCGGTTCTCCTTCTTTCTTACGAATATAGACTTTTCCACCAGCAGTCCAACAGTACTTGTAATCATTAGTCTTAGCGAAGTCTCGAGCAAGGAAATATAATTTCCGAGTTTTATACGTCAGATTTTCTGATATAAAAATAGGTTTCGGAGAACCTTTAATGTGTAGGTGAGATGTACTTAGTTTGTTCGTCCTGTTAAACTTTCTACAATGCTCAATAATCTTTTCCTTGGTTATAACTGAGGTAAAATCCACAATAATTGGTTTATTTTCTGGTTTTCTTGTATTTATTCGTTGTATATTGCGTATGTCGCTATACTGAACCGGTACTTCTAATGTTTTGGCAATGCTTTGAACAACTTCTATAAGATCAGTTTTTGATTCGCCATTTACAGCTGGAATATTTTTTATTTCTAGGCTTGATACTATTAGCATCTTGTCCTGAGATTCAATTTTGCTCTCTAGTGCCGCAGTATACTCCATATTGCTTTTTTTATCTCTTTCCATCCTTTCAAGTCGCTCCTTTAAAACATTATATTCGGCATAGAGAAATTCGACTGATTTAATAATCTCTTGGTTCTGTTTCTTTACATCGTTTATTGCAGTTTGCAGAGTATCGAATTTCTTATTTTGCTCTTGCTGAAAGGTCGTCATCATCTCCCTAATTTCCAACATGAATCGCGATAATTCATCATCATAAGATTGTTTTATGGATCGAGAGCGGGTGCCAATATTCTGAGAGCCCATGGTGTCAGTTTTCCTTGTTTCTGATTTTGCAGCCATTGTATTTTTTAAGCGGTATTTTTGTTACAAGCAACTAAGTTTAGTTTATTAATTAGCAAAGCTGATAAACCCAAGCGGATGCAGGTGTTTCACTATTCTTAAAACCTAATTTTGTCAGTGAGTGACAAAGAATAGCGGCGGTCGATTCGATATGATATAACTCAAACACAGCAGAATGTTATATAATATTAAGCAAAAATTAGCAAAAAAGAAAAAAAAAATACATAAAAAGAACACAAAAGTAATAAGATGTAATAAAAGTGCAAAAAATGACAGTTCTCAAGAATCACGTCGAACTCCGGATTTGAACTCACATGCGTCCATTAAAAAGCTCACCACAGTCCGTGAATGCGTTCTTTACGCCAAATGTTCACAGTACAATAGAGTGAAATGCACGATCTTGTTCTCCTTGTCGGGAATACGAAATGTGTTTGACCTTGCATGGGTTTGAAGGTCACGATGCACACTTGTCGTTGTCGCTGACGGCCCGTCCGCACGAACTATTTTACGATGAAACTAATATGGCGGTCCTTCTCAGATAATTTCTTCCAATATGCATTAATTCACCTTACTTTACAGTTGTTTGTAGAGTCTTGTTATTCACTTTACTGCTCCTCAGTTTATTTACGATTTGGGTAATAGAGTTAATAGTTTTGTAGGTTTTATTTATGAAATATAATTATTTAGCCAGTGGATGTTTTTAGTTAGAACATTGTAAATTTTACTCCAATTGGCCACACTAGTCACTGTTTACTGTTATGTTTATCACTATTATGGTTTATCACTAGTTTCTTTACACAGTTACTAGGTTTTATTATGAATTTGGCAGTTAAAATATTATTTTTGGTTTTTTAAGCGCGGAGCTGTTAGAAACACGTCTACTCGCGTCAACGTCCGGGGGGGGGGGGAATTCGTTTAGTGCTGTGCAAAACGAAACTATATGGAAAACTGTGAGGATCACGCATTATTATCTAAGTACTTACTAGTGTTTTACTTAACTTCCGCTTAACATGGAGAGACTTACATGTGTTCTACATGAATTTAGTAGAGAATTGTAATAAGCGATGTCTCCTTATTTTCAAAGAGATTTCAAAGAAAGACACACGTCTACTAAGAGTAACACTAAACATTTTTAAAGTTCTAAATGCCATTTAAGGGCTACGTACTAGGGCATTACTCGAATAATAAGATTTAAGATAAGCAGATATGATAGTATACTCACAGGCTGTAGCGTTCCGAAGCAGCGTTAAAATAAAGAATGCGTTAGTTTTCATGATATCAGACTCAGAGATGATGATGCTGGTGATGTGGGGCTAACTAGTGTCATTCTCAATGACGTCACTTACAGCGCCGCTAGTCTCCGCTTGGGGCATCTCTTGTCTAGCCCTTTGGAGGAAAGCCATCGCCTCCTAGGTAAATGTACACCAGTGTTTAGCCGAAGCATGACATTATAATACGTACAAAACGTAACGCTGAAGCTGCAGAGAATCGACCTAGTAAACTTTATACAAGCGAAGTGTTCAATGTAAAAGAAGTAACTATAAGCGTTCTATTAAGTATCAAAAATATTATCATTGAATTTGAGTAAGTAAAGTTAGAATTCCCTGACATAGAAGGGTTAAGTGAATTGCTACTTTATTTTGATCAAATTGAAGTATCAACATTGTTAAAGTATGTTTGGGAAAAAAGGAGGTGACTACGACAGGAGTACATGCAAATAAATTTAAACTTTCACCTTAGGATTATAAAAAAGGTCAGGATAAAGAAAGTAACAAAGTAAGATTTGAACAAAACAGCCGGGTAGAGGCCAAGTCTACTGAAGCTCAATAGGTAGATACAGCATGCTTTCTTGGTAATTTTATTGTGTTTGAAGATGATGACAAAAGCTGCGCATATTTCAATTTTACTTCAACTTTCTAAACATTTATTCAATTAAATACAATCATTTACGGGTGTATAAAATGTTCTAGGAAGACTGATTTCAGCAAATCTAAAGTTTAAGCAAAACTTACCTGTTTTCCTACATTAAGGGTTAATAATAATAAAGGTCTAAACAATCAGCCTTTCAGAACACTGGTAAAAGAGAAATATACGAGCGTTGTCTGGATAGTGCCAATGAATGTGGCGAATGTTCTTACCAAGGGGCTGGCCAGTATAATGCCAATTCTGCTGAGGACTGCAGGCAGTCGCTGCGAACACATCACACACACTGTTTGTTCACTCGTGACAGATGGTCTAACGATGTGCAATCGTGAACGTAGACTAGCTTGTAGTGGCCACATTTATAATGAACATTATGCACTTTGAAACATATAACAGTACCCACTTTGTAAAGTACTAACGCAAAATCAATCACAAAATACAAATCAATGTGTATCTTTGCAATGTTTTCTAATAGACGTTAGACAATTTCGATACAGATTTATGGATTTTAGTCATGAAAAGCAAGAAATGATGACAAAGAGACACGAACTGGAAGTTATGATGTATGGCCACACAATATAGTCTCATCGGTGAAGTGACGATTGCAAATGACATATGTGATGAATTCTTGCTTACACATTAAATTTAGTAAATATATATGAGCCAAATACATGCAAAGACGTTAAAGAAGTGAAGCATGCTGTAGAAAGAAAACAAACAACACGACATTGCCATTTCACGTATGGTATAAAGTACGTACTCGTTCATCATGCCATGTCTTGTTGTTGGAAGATTGAAAGAAAACATTGCAAAGAGTAAAGATAGAAAAATTTAAAAATATTCACGACGGAACTTATTTGTTGTTCGTAAGCTAATTCATCTGAGGATCAATGCAAAATGTTTGTTCAGTATCTCGGAAATTACTTTTGAAACTTTTAAATTCCTTCGTGAATGGATTGTGGGTTTTCTAACATAGTACTCCTAGAATCACCATTAAATATCAAAGTGCGTTTTAAAGAATCTAGTACCAATTGCTTGCTACAAGGAGCACAATAGGAGAGGTAACGTTCAGTAGCAGACATGTAGTGAGTGTATGTACAGGGTTTTAGACATGTAAGTAGGTAGATTGATACTTTGGACAGATGTTTGTTTGTAATTAAAATGTTTGTCATTGTATGCACCTAGCCTATTACGACTTAAATGCCTTCATGTCAGCGTACACATTGTAGGCAACATCAGACCAATTTAGCGCTGCGTAAATGAAGCGTTCTTTTAGCCGATATTTACAAACGCAACTGGCTTTGTTTTTTTCTTGGTAATTGTCTATTGTGTTCACCTTCTAATTTTTATTATCTAAATCAATGATATGTTCAATTTTCTTTCTTACAAGTTTGCTTTTTCTATATTTTTTTTACTTTTTGTCAATTTCGCCGATCAAACACTAACGCTGGACATACGCTCAGTGCTAAGACAATATCATAACCAGTTTTTTGGATTTTGTACAAAAAATGAAAAACGAAGAAAAACCACATCGATATCACGCCATAGAAATATTTAAAAACAAACGTGGCAATAAAGAAATACACGTAAATATCAGTAGACCGTCATAAATGGAACGTTTGAGTCAAAGTTGGATAAACAGCAACACTGATGACGCTCTATGCAGGGAAATTGAGAGAGGCAAAGAGAAGTATTCACCTGTGTGACCGGATTCTCTCCGGGTCGGTAGACGACATTGTGTAGGGGTCGCTTCCTCCCCACGTAGTTGACGCACACGAACTCTAGTAACGACGCATAGATAAAACACATGCACACGCCGTCCCACACGTTCATCGCCGTCAGGTTCGACACGACCGGCAGTGTCGATCTGAATCCGTTCGATGTAGTGAAAAAATTCAACATTGTTGTTACACCTGTACAAAAAGCAAAGCAATATGAGAATTTTATCAAACTTAGAAACTATTTGAAAGATCTTGTTACGTATAGATAATTAATTAAAATCGAAAAACTAAGCGTGTTCATGAGAATGTTACTTTACTATCTAGAACATTCATTGTTAAGCTCTACAAAATATTTTTAGTATTTAAGATGAATATCATGCCATTACCCATACAGTTCTAGTCACGAATAGCCAATCATAAGCGAAGTTTATATTGCATAACATGATTAAATTTGGGAGACCACGGTACTTACAATAGTTTTTTCACAATTTGGTAACGATAAATGGGCTTATTATAGAAGTTAATTGATTAAATTATCAAAAATTTAAAGTAAAAATCAGCAAATAAAACGGTGAACCAACCTATCATTACTCTAGCAGGCACTGCATTCCATTCCAGCCAAAAAGTAATAAACGATGAAGTCACCAAAATGATCCCCGGAATGAAAACTGTGGTGAAGTAAAATGATCTATCCCGCGTGAAGATAAGATCCACTTTGAGACAGCTGTAATTACCTAAAAATGTCAAGCATATACTAAAAATAAACAAAAACCAAAATCAGCAGGTGAGAATGATTCGTCGGCTGACTATGAGAATTATTAACATAGAGTAAGCGATCCTGCAACAGATAGCGTGTTATATCAACAGCCGCAGCCAACATCTACGAAGAGTAAAATTGATGCAGTACGCAAGACCGAGAGCATTCCAGATACCAGCCACATTTTTACCTATCATGGAACGGGCTGGTACTGCGTTCCATTCCAGCCAGAACGTGATGAAGGAGGAAGTCACCAGAATTATTCCAGGGATAAATACTGTAGTAAAGTAGAACGCTCGGTCTCTAGTAAATATTAAGTCGACCTTTAGACAGCTGTAGTTACCTGTGGAGTGAATATCATTAGGTACAATTGGAGCATTGGAGTGCGCGGTTATGTTCTCGTATAATTTCAAAACAAAAATAAGGATCCAGGATACAAAATTCCAAGTAACTCAATTCAGAGGCCTTGTTAAAATTAAAGTACATATGAACAGCCAAAAACATCATCTAATATACTAACTACTGTTCTGTATGTATGAGTAATGCGTGTTGTGTTGTCACGTGTCATATCAAGTTTATGAACATACATTGTAGCATTATGACGTCCATCAAAAACGATACAGCGTACTATCAAACGCATGCTCTTACAGTCATGTATGGAATTTATATGGGCATGCATGAGACAATGAACAAAGTGATGAGCTCTTAACTAACACAACATGAATGCTTGGTGAGTTATAAGAAAAGTATCGCAAGGAGCAAACCTTCGACTTTCCATCATCACGGCGGATTACAACACATTGTACAACACTTTATCATTATAACACAATTACGCATTTACTCACACATAAGCAAAAAATATTTGAAATACGACGACACCGGACAGAACGGTGCCTCGTCCGGTGCAACTTTAGTACCTTGCTCCTCAAAGCGTCTCTGGCAAAGATTACATGTCATCTCTTCGTCTTCCTCGTAAAGTGAATTACCCTCAGCTGCTTGCAAAGACGTTAATAAAGTCTTACACTCTACATTCTCAACAAACTAATTAACACATTTAGATGTCAGGAATAGCAAAATTTATAAAGTGACTACACTACATAGTCGTACTGACATAATAACTATAGTCATCACATTGTATGATCGGACGCACAACCTAGATGAACATGCTGGATAGCTAGGGGTACTCCTAATGTTCTCGACAAACTGTGATCGCATTACGTACACTATCAAGCATCTACTATATAAAATATATATTTATATATAAGTTTTAAAAACACACAAAATAAATTAAGTACTTATAAAAATTAACCTTTTACATAAATCAAGACCAAGCTGAAAAGAGTTAATCAGAATTTCAATATAATTAGGCAACCTTTGACCATCTCTTGTGCAAAATATAAGATGTGCTTGAACAAAATATCTAATTTTGGTTAACTAAGCTACCGTATAGGGCGAAAATAATATATGATTGGGAGAATATCTTCTTAAGAATAACGTTTTAGAAGCGATGTTGGTATGTTGTATGTATGTAATACGTGGCTATGAATAATGTCATATTTTACCTCTCCAACTGGCTTTGATAGGGCAGGGAATGGTTTGGTTCTGGATGAGGTACGCATTGAGTGTCGTTAGCGACGGCGACTTGCGTAGCGTGTCCTCGTCGTTCTTCCACACGTAAGTTATGGCTGACTGCTCGTACGATACTAGAAAACGTAAAGCGTTATTATAACCAATCTAACCTTAGTTCCTTTACAATCGGGACAGAAGGCATTTGTGCAAATGCAACAGTCAAACAACTTAACTTATAGGAAGTGCTTTCTATAAAGGACAGATGCATAGTAGGACCAATTAACTTACTACTTTCTAAGGCAAATGAACACAATGGGTCATCAAAAGGAAAGATGTTGAGCCGCCCCTGACAAGACAGGATGAGATGCCGCCGCATCAAGTAGTTTATAGTACCATTGCGATATATACGCAAAGCGAAATGCATTGGTATAATCGGGTCCTGAAAAATAAACACAGTTAAGAATATAATCTAGTTTAAGGAATCATCAAAACAAAGCATTTGCACTATTAATTACGCTCCTATCCTAAATACTCCTACTGAATGGTGTTCACAAATATTACTTTTCACCAAAACCACCGGACCAAATGTTACGATGATATCTACGAAAAACAACTCCAAAAGGTCTAGATTGCATGTTTAAAACCAGAAAGAAATCGAGGCGAGCATGAAGTGTCAGCTATAAAAATATTCGTATGTACAAATAATGGTCCTTTTAGATTCATGAAGCATTGTATGTAGTTATAAATACCCATGAGTGCTGGGAAAACTCCTTCAGAAGAAAGCATGGTGGAAATAATTATGTATAAAATTAGATGAAAATATAATTTTGACGGTATCTTCAGTCAATCAATTAATCATGTAACTTATCTAGGCTAAGTTCGATACGGACCTTAAAGTCACCGTGCATGATGAAATACGTATCCGGCAACCAGATGTCTTCGTGATGATGGATGGCGTTTAGGAAGTCGTAATGAGACTGGTTGGAATAGCGCAGTCGAGGGTCGTACCACTGCTGCTGAAGTAAGAATTCCACTTCGTATTTCTGGAAGCGGTCAATTTAGACAGAGGATTGAAAATAAATAGAAAAGAGAGGTGCTGAGAGAATAGTGTTAGGTGTGATGATACTTACAAGACTAGATTCATCCGGAGAGGCTAAGCTAAGAAGTAGTACGCTTACATTTACGGTGAGGACACCTGAAAACAACATAATTGATAACACACATAGCATGGCTCAAGTCAGTTATAAAAGACACAACAACGATATACACTTAAAATACATGCTTGCTAACAATTGTGCTGGAGTAGGGCTCTACCTATCTTGACTTCACTGTTTTGTCCTAACCTTGAAACTCTGGTAATATTAAAATATGTCTTAACAAAAATCACAATGTAAGAAATAATGATCGGAAGTAAGAAGGTATAATCAAAATTAAATTGCAAAAATGAACCGTAGGCTAACACATGTTGCAATAATAACGAAAATTGTAAATAAGAAGTTGGCAGATCCGATTTCTATTGGAAAGAAGTAAGTAGATATGAGTTTACGACAGGTAAGAATTCATAACTCTGTGTTTAATGTTTGTGAAAAGAGAAAATCATTTAAGGCAAAAAGCATGGCGTAAAAAGAAAACTCGTTATATGTTGAGTGACTGAACCATAACACACGGTGTCTTGTTATTAAAGAAATATAAAGTAATGTTTAAAGTAGCTCAGTAGCCGACCAACGAAATAATCAGACCAAATAAATTCAATAATAAAAGTGGGGTGTGTTCTAATCTAATACATCAATGTTGAAGTGCAATAATACTGGTAGGAAATAATGTGACTCGTATATAGGTATAAAAGTATTCTAAAGCAAAGGATCAGGTATCTACAGTTGCGTGAGGTAGTAGAAGAGTTGAAGTTGCGTGCAAGGAAGTAATTACAAGGACATAATTTGCTACGATCCAGATACATGTGGAAGGATTTCTCTTTTCATAAACATGGAACACAACGCACCACGATTGTGCGAGCGAGGCCGCAGAGACGAGAGCCCCACATTATTTTGTGCCAGAGAGTCGTTGGGCGAAGTTAGACCACAACAGAATTCTGGATCTGCAATTTACACCAATTTTGTATGACCTACATAACCCTTTTACTCAAACGCAACAGCATTAGGATTGCAGATTATATCAATCGGATAATCAAATAAAACGTTCTGATATAATTTGGAATCCGCTGTCTTATTCTATGCTGATAAATTTTAATAAAAATGACATTTACCATCTACTGGTGGCAACAGTCTTTTGTCATAGCGGGAGTTTTTCAGAAGGTTGTCCAGTATCTCTTTGTCCGACTTCCCCGCTGCAAATCTGTAGAATGGTGAATAGACGTTGTATAATAACTTCGAAGCAATTTTGCATTTGTAAAGAACCTTTTAAATCACCGAAATAATGGTGTGGAAGCGAGTTCTAGGGAAGATTTATGCCGTTAACATATATTATGGCAAATTAAGCGTGTAGAACGCACAGCAGTACGCTTAGTATTGATTTTAGATTAACACTTATTACCTTGCTGCTACAAAAGCCGTTCAATAAGCTAATAAACAGAGCAATGACACACTCTAATAATAAATATCGAAGTTCACATAGTGATTACGTTAACAACTATAGGTAACTAACTTATGAAGTCATTATTTGAAATACAGACATTAACTAACTACGAATTGAACAAACAGTGTGTATTGTCTACTTCGACAACTCTGCTAACATCAAAGATAGGTAACAGTTTAATAATCATAGTGAAATATATGTCTAAGCTAACTTTTAGTTGGGAGCGGAAACAAAAGCTTTGAGTGATGCATGGAGCTTGAAGTTTGTTCACTCGCTAAACTGATTAGAAACTCATCAAGTTGTACCACACGACGCTCAAAATAATCACATCAAGACAACGAAGGCACTACGCAACTAAAATGATTTATGTTTACACAACTGAAGGGAAAGTGATGTAGGAGATAATAAACATACTGGGGGCATACCCCTTGCTAGACAATTTGTTTAGCATAGTGCCCGCAGTGTGTATTAATGGAGCGGGAACTTCACGCCTCAGCGGGCGTGGCACGGCTGCCGTGTTACATACAGTTCGCCGCCTGCCACTCGCCGTGTCCTTCCACGCTATACTCATTACCATCTAAATCTATTGTGGTTATAATCCAGAGAACACTTGCTATGCTACAAATTTTGAGGGTCACTTCGGAAATTTTGTTAATTTAAGAAAATTGTTAAAAGGTAGATGGCTCGTTTATATTTCCCTAAGTAAGTATTTCTTTGTGAAATATGCTCACTTAAAGACAAAGGATGTCTAAAATGGCCTTGTGTAATAAATAGTATCAGAATATACGATAATTAATCTCTTATTTTATTTTATAAGTTGCAAATACTTCTGTATCACGGACTAGCTGTATTCCAAAATGTACTTTTAATAGAATTTAACGCGATTAATAACATTAGATCGCCATCTTCGACTAATGTCAAATGCCTTCGCCTAATGTAATAAATAGGTAATAATCGTCGTAATAGTTAGTAAGAATAATATTATACAGTAATCAAAACTTCTATACAATCATTCAACATTCGTTCAAATATTCGTTGTCATGGTTAGATTATAACCTCATAATCTGATACTTTTTTTGAAATATATCTTTTCTGCAGCTAGTCCGCTATAAAAACAAGATCTTCTAGGAGGCTACAAATGATAGGGAATACAATACATAATTATCCGATACTCTTGGCTCCAAGGCCAACAATGTATGGACGCAGAGCAATGTCCTTTATTATAATTTTGAAATTATAAATCAAGAACACTACAAATAAGAATGATAAATTGTGAACTTACATGTCTGATGTGAGTGCTGACGCTCGGCTGAGCATGAGGAAGATAGCCACAGCGCGTGCCACGACGCATGACCAACCCATATTAGGACATCTGTAAAATATTAATATAAATTTTATAGATCAACTGAACTAACCACGTGGGTTGTACGATTTAGATCTAGGATTCAATTAGAGAATACCGATGGATCAGGATATACTCTTTTTTTAAATCGTCACCGTGCTGTAGCTACTTTTATCTTCCAAGTAAGAGTTTGTAGCTACTAGTAAAATAGGTACCCTTCGAGGTAACTGTGGGAAGTTATTAAGTAGGGGTACGAGATTTGTGATAGACTTGAAGCATTAAGTGAGGAGGCTTTGTTGAACTAACGACATCTTCCAGCTGATAGTAATGTATGTAACACACTCCATGGTCACTGTAAAATTAATAACGGTGAAGCTGTAATTCTGTAAAGTAGGTACATATTTTATAGTAATATGAATATTTTTAAAGTCGAAACCACATCACATCACATAACATCGCGCCTTTTATCCCCGAAGAGGTAGGCAGAGGTGCACATTACGGCTCTTAATGCCACTGTACAATGTAACACCCACTTTTCACTATTTATGTTATGAGTCCCATGTAACAGGGGGTGAGCCTATTGCCATATACTGTAGACAATACCAGACTCCGTGCTACAACTTTGCCCCATCGGGAAATCAGGAATCGAACCCGAGACCCCTTACCCTGGCATTCGCATTTACGACCACTTGGCCAACGAGTAATCCTTTATCTGACTTAGGACACATTCAGAAAGTACAAAAGTAAACCAAACCCAAAGTCGTCTAAAATTAACCCTGCAATGTTTATTGTACCTCTACACCATTAGTGAGTGTAACAAATAACTAAAAGCTTGCACATCGTGACCCTAGCGAATCGTGTCCCGTTTATTTAGTTGTAGGTCAAAGGGACTCCGTATTCGTAAGAATAGTATGGAATTTACCCGTGACGGTCAAGAGGTTAAGCCAATGATAACTTTACTATAGATTGCGCAAAATATGTATTATGCAAATGTGGCTGTCATGGTATGGCAATTATTTTAATAGAAGTGTGTATAATTGAAATGGATAATGTTGGTTAGTCTAGTTATTTACATATTTTAAAACGTAACATGAAAAATTGACTACCTACCTACTAATGAAATAAGTGCCAGCTAACATGTAATAGAAGTCCCTTACAGTTTAACATACAGAGGTATTTATATCTTAAGTAACAGTTATGGCAAATTGACTTGATTTGAACATAACAAACACCATGAAATCTATTTTGTTTTCGTCACGAAGTAAAATGGTTCTGTCATGGCAATACAACAGTTAAAAAAAAAAAAAATACTGGTGAACCATTGCAAAAAGCAAACCTCGAAAGCGCATACGAACTCATAGTAAATTATCAAAACATCACGTCATGTAATTCTCGAAGAGGTATTTCTCATCGGGCGGCACGCGCGAACACAAATTTATGTCTAGTGTTTCACGTGCGCATTTCGATGATTTTTTTTTTTAATTAATAAATATGACGACTATTTTTTTTTGTTTGTACTGTATACGAACGTACTACTTATGGCAAGTTGTTTTGATGCAGGATCAAGGATGAAAACAAAATAGATTTCACGTTGTATATTTGCTTCTGTCAACTTGTTCCAATTTCTAAAACAATGAAAGTCGCGATGTCGGCTCACGTAAAAATAAGTCGATATTTTCGCCCAACAAACATATCGAACGCTCATACGTCACAAGTACGGAGGGCGATAAACCTTTTGTAACCATTTTTATATCAATACTCTTCGAGTTCAATTTATGTGAGTACCAATACATTTGTTTGGTAAATAAGTAATATTAGGAGCTCCAAATAAGTTTTCCTTTCCTTTCCTTTCCAGAGAAAATAATATGCCTTCTTAGAAAGAAAACAGAAACTACAATTACTTATGTACGAAATGAAATACGGGGAACAAATATAGACTTATGAGATTAATGAAATGATAGAATTAAATTATATTGAGAAACAAACTTGAGTGGTTCTTTCGAGGGCTGAGCTAGGGATGTGCTGTAACAGGCGTGGCCCAATGGTGGCCCTGGAACTGGACTATTTAGAGGTAATGTTTCTTATAAGTGACATTATGGATCACCGGGAGTGATTTTAGTGATGCAGAATCTCACATCCCCTAGTCTTTCTCCCGAAAAAACTAGGTGTCTTATAAGAATCTGCGGTTATCAAAAAATGGGCTGAACGTTTTGAAAAGTGTATGTATGTACCTACCTAGTTATAGTAAGCATCTGCAAGAACCTATCCAAATAGAAAACATCAAACATGGCGATAAGTAAACAAAAACAAAACCAATTCACAAAGATATGCAAAAATATAACCACAAAATTTTATTCAAAATGGGTTGTCATAAAAGTGCATGTACGTATATACATATACAGTTAAAATATACATAGGTAGGCATAGTTGCGAGCGCCAATGAGTCGCGTGTGGTCTCTTATTGACGTCATAACCGTAATACAACTTTTTTGAAAGTAGGTCATGTGTTTTCTGCGCGCAGCAAAAAAATTATATCATGAGCCTTGTAGCACGCTAACTCTGCTCGCACAACCCTACTCGCGTATGTGTTTTTATGTATGCATTAATACATTTTATTCGCAAATTACGTATGTTAATTAAATAGTAGACTGCCTCGTTGGCCGATTGGTCGCAAGTGCAACTGCCTGGCAAGGGGTCTCGGGTTCGATTCCCGGATCGGTCAAAGTATTACTGGGTTTTTTAAAAATTCTCAGTAGGTAGTAGCACAGTAGCACGGAGTCTGGAATTGTGCCCGATATATGGTAATAGGCTCACCCCTTATTACATGTAGACTCATAACATAAATAGTGAAAAGTAGGTGTTACATTGTATAGTGGCATAATGTGCACCTCTGCCTACCCCTTCGGGGATAAAAGGCGTGATGTTATGTATGTATGTATGTAATTAAATAGTATTCATATTAATAGGCATGTATTATTAGCTACATGGAGGGTTGATTAACTTCTGACGATATTGTTTAGGTAAGCATTTGTTGTCTAGATTTGATTATCTAGAACAGGACTAAGACTGAAGGTTATTGAAGATCTGTCTGGAATAGTCTCTTTTTCTCTTTCTCTCTCTAGACGACAGACGATGACTCTTTTTGTTAACCTTTTTGGGGATAGTAGTCATGAAATTATAAGCACTACACATAAATCCAAGATAGATGCAATTCCGATGACTTTTTGAACTATACACAGCAATAACACTTCACTCGATTCGAATTCATGACTTCGTGTTCTGTAGTTGAGCTTACTAACTCCAAAACAACGAGGTCGTTAAATCCTAAGGCTAAGCTTATAGCATCGGAATGTCAATCCATTTTGAACGTTACGCAGAAAAACTTTAGAATACAATTTCCTTTACACAAAATATTTCAAGTTACATTTTATTTAGTTTGAGTAGGTAATCCGCTTTACTCCCGCGGGTATTTCACTTTCTAAACAAATGTCTTTGTTTTCATATTATATACAGAATATAGGCTACATATACACTGTATATATATTCAGTGAGAGTATGTAAATAGTATACTGTATCTATTCAGTAAGTGTATACGTTTATATGTTGATGTTTGTCTACGATAGTTTGTACATTATTGTAGGTTGTGTATCAAATATGATACGTTATATGACTAACTGTGCCCGCGGCTTCGTTCATGTTATAATGTACAATGTACATATATATATAGTTATTGATAAAGATTTTCTATACGCATATGTATATGTACTGTTTACTGCTTTTGCCGTTTGAGAGTTAAAAATCTAAAGACCCAATAACATTTTTCGCAACATACCTACCAATTCTAGATCGTTACGTTAAGAAATTTCTACGCAAAGTACATAATTTAAATGTGGGAGATCCATGCTTTGGCACGAATGGGCCGGCACGACCGGAGTGATACCACGGCCTCACAGAAAACCGACGTGAAACGCTTGCGTCGTGTGAATGCGGTTACCGCAGGCCCAATTACTCGTCCTTCCCTAATCTCCCCAATCCCTGAATCCCAACAATCCTCAAATTCATAATTTTCAAAAGGCCGGTAACACACTTGTAACACCTTTAAAGCCCCTAGTGTTCATGGGCCACGCCGATTGCTTACCATCAGGTAATCCGTCTCCCATAAAAAATATACAAACGACAATATTATATTTACGACTTCCATTTAATTGTGGTAACAAGAAAATATTGCATGTTAATTTCACAGTTTAATTTGCAACAAAAGTAGGTATGCTATTAGCCTTAATATTCTTAGGCAACAAAATGGGTTAATTTAAGTGCTTACCATTGTGAACTGCCAACAAGAGAGGCAATCTTATTCAAAGTACTTATTTTATAAGACTACGTTATACTTATAACTTATGTATTCTTTTTTTATTACTGAAACTTTATTTAGTATGAATAATAGAAATACAATTCATAATATTATACACTAAAAGTATATCAGTACAGTGTTTTAGCAATTATCGTCATAATTCTGAGTTAGAATTTTGAGCCTAGGATTTGGTGATCCGGTTTCGCTAACAACAACTTATCAACGATGCAATCAACTTGATTTTTTACAAATTTATCTACACACTCATTAGTTCCATTTTCCAAACTTAGTTAACGGCCAGTTTTATTACATTGGAATATTGTCTATATATACCTACCCTCTATCAGTCAATAGACAAACGAATTTTTTTTTTCAAGATCACACTAATATTACAATGTGAAATTTTCTTTGTTTGGATGTATAATAGATAATAACCCAGTAGATGTGGCTAAAATTATGATGGTGATTCCTATGGGATTGAGACCTACTCGAAAAAACTGAAATTTTAAGTACGTAAGTAAACCTAATATTATAATAAAAAAGTCACACTAATATTATAAATGTGAAGGTATCTTTGTTTGGATGGTTGTCCATCAATTACGCTGAAAGTACTGAAAGGATTTTGATGTTTGGTATACAGGTAGGGTATAAGCTGACTTAGGTGATAGGATACTTTTTATCTCGATTATTGTTTATTGTTCCTTTATTTCAGGCAACTGTGGCCCATATAAAATATAATAACTGAAACAGATACCAAAAAATGAATACATCAATAAATCGATTAAATACTTCCATGGGATAAAACAGCAATAAATGCTAGAATATAAACATATTAGATTTTACTGGTACGTAATCTTACAGTATCATAACTTAAGGTATCGATTTATTCATTGTCTCTGGAGATAGCATGAGATCGAATTTCTTTGTAGTGTTTGCCGATAAAATACTTTTCATATGAGATTTGTTGAATGTTTTCATTTGAATTGGATTTCTTGTTGGTAATTTGGTAAAGGATTGTATATTATATATCATGAATGAGATAATAACAAGTATATTGGTATTTATTAATGTATTAACGTAGTAAAATTAAATAAACAATACGTAGAGGTAGAAAACAGAATCGAGTGGTTCATTATAAAGTATGTAATAAATAAATCATGAATTTTTAACTGCCCCATTGGCCAAGTGATCGCAAGTGCGACTGCCGGGAAAGGGGTCTCGGGTTCGATTCCCGGGTCGGGCTTATTACTGTATTACTGTTTTTTTTTTAATTCTCAGTGGTAGCATAGAGTCTGGATTTGTGCCCAGCATATGGCAATAGGCTATTACATGGGACTCATAACATTAATAGTGAAAAGTGGGTTTAAGTGCCGAAATGTGCAACTCTGGCACCCCTTCGGGGATAAAAGGCGTTATGTTATGTTATATGAATTTTTGATCCAAGTTACTCGTAACATTTTACGACACTGGTGATATTGTTCACAGAAGTTTTCGAGAATAATAAATTTATTAGGTTTAGTATACAGGATGAGTGTTAGTACTTAGTTATATAAAAATAAATACAATTGAATTGACTGCACGGTTGGCGTGGTGGTTGGGCAACTGGCTACCGCGCAACGTGTCGCGGGTTCGATTCTCGCACGGAACAACTCTTTGTGTGATCCACAGATTGTTGTTTCCGGTCTGGGTGTGATGTGTATGTGAACGTGTATGTTTGTAAACGCACCTATGACACAGCAGAAAATCCTAGAGTGGGGTAACGCTTTTAAAAAATATATATACATATATTAAATATGTAGTCACCTTTCTGCTGACTGCAGAGCTCTGTCGGCATGTGGAGATGTGGATCAACCCGCCCTCGTCCTCGGTGTCCGCCACAACATGTCTCTCCAACTATCTGGAACAATTACAAACGTACATTCATTAACATTGTTTGTATTGTTAATGTGTTTCAGTATAAGGACATTAGTATTATATCCTTAACTGCAAAGTTTAGGGATCGATAACGGTTGTCAGTTTCGATTTATATCTAGCATCGACAGGGCAAGTATCTTGTCTACATTATATGGACTTTAGTTTCTATACCTACATATAAATAAAAATACGATCACCATCATAATATTATCCACCAGATTTATTAACAGTCGCCGACGCAATGTTCTTTCAATACAATTACCCAAGCTCCCATAACAACACTGTTTTTCTTCTCGAAACAAGAAAATATGGACAATAAGAAAAAATTGTAGGTTTACCGGAGAAAGTCGAACTAATATACGCCTTTAGATTTATATAGATAAATCGTGCTCGAAAAATGGCGGCCAGGCTCCCACTTATTACGTAGAAACAATAAATTGGGGCAAAATGTTACCACTGCGACCAGAAACTTTCTTTTATCCTATCGAGTTATGTAACATTATACCCTATTGATTTTGGGAGGCTCGCAGCTACAATTTGATACTACACGTAATACGGGAGCGCCTTTCCTATTATGCTAAACTACTCACCTAGTACTCCCACAATTCATTTCACTTCGTTTACATTTAATTCCACGTCGTGCCACCGCGAGATGTCGCTACACTCGACCTTGCGGTTCCACTGCCGCGAGAAACTTATCAACATTATGAAAATTAAAAGGAGTCATTATCAGTTATTTATATTCACATTTATATACCAGCTAATTTAAATGCGAATTATGTCCAGAGGCATCCTGTCGTATCTTTGCAAAACTTACAAGGTTCTTGAGAACATTCACATTGTAGCAAAAATAATGGCTGACATAAAAATGTATTTTCACTCGCGAAAATATTTGGACTTCATCTCTGTTAAAAAGTAAGTTGGAGCGTTATGGTTTTTAATTTAGATCTTAATTTGGTGTGCCCTCAAAAATGTCGAGTGTTCCCGACTTCCCACTCTTCTATTTGCCAACAATATAAAACCCTTTTTTCATTGGCACCCTCTCCCGGTTTAATTAAGTCAACAACTGCCGGCCATTTTAATAATGCTCGCTGTGCGCTGTTTTCATAAACGTAACCGCCAAAATAAAAATATATTTGCTCTATCACCTACAGGCTACAAGAAACTTCTACAAAACACATTATTCTTATTCTTTCACGTTATTGTCGCCATTAGCAGTCCATTGACCTTTTAATGTTTTTTCTTGTTTCCAAAATGATTATGAATGAAAAATGTCAACCTTTGACCTCATTTTTGGTTGCCTTTGATAAACTTCTGATTTATGCATTAAAATTTGTCTTTTTATTGTTCCCTAAGTGGTGAGCCGTAAGCCGGGAGATTATGTTAGGTTTAGCAACTGTTGTTCAAACTTTTGTCAATGGTTAGAATTTTTAGCAGTTGGTTTTTTCTTCATAAGTTTGTAAATTGTGTCAGTAGCTACATTTTTTAAGGTGAACTATCTCGAATTTGTTTATTGATTAACCTCTTATTTGCCGGCATATGAGACACAATAGAAACACATTGTGTCTCGCGTATATCTACGCTCCCGGCATACCAGGGGTTAAAGGAGAAACATAGTCTTTTCAAAGAACCATTTTTAAACAGATTTTTTTAAATCTTATATATCTGTAGGGATTACTTTACATTTTTTTTTTTAGTAAATATCAACATTTGCTTTGAATTCAGGATAGTCTTATAAAGATTGAGAACCATTGCAATTTATAAAATGTCATTCATTCGTAAAAGTGCGTCGTGGTAGCACATTATGCTAATACAGTGTCTTTTGTAAATCCCTGGGAAGGGAATAAATCAGCTTCTTAGGAGAATTAGCTTTTTACGCATATTTTTTATAAAAGTAAAAGGGTATTTGTTCATAAATTTGATGTTTATTTTCAGTAATTTTTTTTTGTAAATCGTCGTAGATATGTGATGTCTTAACTGATTTAATAATATTTTTATTTGTTTTAGCAAATTATTTTAAGGATTTTAACAAAGTTTATATATTACAAAAGTTCTATGAATCGTACATTACAAGTGTTTACGTTATATTACTTCCATAAAGTCGGTATGATACTATATATATTTAAATTCTACATAATTTTTCGCTAAAGGCACATTATACTGAAATTAACTTTATTCCTTATTATTCATGTGTTTAATTAAAAGTGAAAGGGGTATTATCTAAGGTTATATTTAAGGTTATGTTATACGAATTAACAAAATCATACATCGAAACTTGACTGCATCAATAAGCCAACACCAATATTATACATACAAGCAAATTAACAGCAATTTCTGATTTTCCACTGGAAATGAGCACCGAACATATTACAGAACGATATGTAATATTGGCACCACTGGTAATGACAAATTGTGGAAAATCGTATTTGTAATTAACATCGAATTTGTAATTAACATACCAATTAGGGTATTGGTTTCAGTGTGTATGCCTCGGTTACTAGTGTAAGTAGGCATTAGCGTTTATTAACGTTGTATAATAAATGATCATCAATTTTTTCTTTTTTATGGAATAGGAGGCAAACGACCATACGGATCACCTGATGGTAGGCGATCACCGCCGCCCATGGACACCAGCAACACCAGAGGAGTCACAGGTACGGTGCCGGCCTTTTAAAAAGAAATACGCTCTTTTCTTGAAGGTTTGAATGTCGTATCGGTTCATAAATACCGCCGTCGACAGATAATTCCACATTCCGTTCTGCTGTTAGTTTAAACTAAAATATAAATGTTAGGTAACAGACATTTTTATCATTATTTATTTATATTTTCAATATTTATGTTATGAGTCCCATGTAATAGGGGGCGAGCCTATTGCCATATTTCGGGCACAATTCCAGACCAGAGAATGTTCTTAAAAACCCAGTAGTATTTTGTCCGTCCCTGGAATCGAACCTGAGACCCCTTGTCCGGCAGTTGCACTTGCGACCACTCAGCCAACGAGGCAGTCATACAAAAACATAGTTTCATATACCCCACAATCATAGTTCTTCTTTTATATTCTTCTACCTAGCTTCTTTTCTCCCACGCAATTGTTAATGTAAATAAGGCTCCGTACATGCAGTGTGCATGTTAATTACCAAGTATTACGTTACGTATGACCCTATTCCGTAGTTAACTCGTGTAAACGTAAAATAGAGTTGTACCACGTTCACAAGTTTTGAATTAATTAACGAGATTACTCGATTCACCGGGTTTTGCGTAACTCGTGGAAGGAGGTACAGTTTGTTAAGTCATTTTGTCAAATACCGTGTCGTGTGCTGGTGATGACGTAAGACAAGAATGCATTTGTCTTTGTCACCCTTACTTCTGCCGATGACGCTGTAAGAGCCGACTGAGGGACTCCACAACTGAGACCGGGCAGCAGAGATCTTTGATAAACAACCTGTGTAGTTTTGAATAGAGAAGAACGAGCAAGAAACTCCATCGTTGCTCTGTACAAAAAAAATGTTTTTTACAATCTTACAAAGATATTATCTGACCCTTACCTATTGAATACATATTTGTGAACAAAATAACGATAATACAACGTCAAATTTAAAAAAAATCTATAGACAACTGTCTCAAACATGGTGCCGACACCATGTACACTTACAATTTGAAATAATGCATCTATACAAATCAAAATGTTTGTTTACATATTTGAAATCTAAAGAGAATTGTTTGATGTCATAACATATATATATTACATTGGAATTAAGACATGAATACATTTTTAGAGTTTATGTAACTACTGACTGTCTTTGAGTATTGTCCAATGAATGAGTGTCTAGTGGAACTGGACCAACATGCTGCCAAGCATTCTTATCTATATAAATAAAAATGAATTTCCGTTCGTTAGTCTTGTTAAAACTCGAGAACGGTGGACCGATTTGACTAATTTTGGTTTTAAAAAATAATAATTTTGGTTTTTAAAATATTCGTGAAAGTCCAGGGAAGGTTTAGAAGGTGATAAAATTTTTTTAGGCGTTACGAAGTTTGCCGGGTCAACTAGTGTTCAATATAATTTGACAATGCCTGTTTACATAGTTCGTGCTTTATACAAGACGAACTCCTCATATGCAGAGGAGACAAGAGACATTTAGACCAGCATTATTGTACTGTGTGGCTGACGATGATAATAAATGACGTCACTGACTGTACATACGACATCCGAATTCGTTGAACTTGGTCGAAGTTTGAAGGTAGAATGTTTATGTTACCTGCGTGTGTATTGTGTATGCTTGTCACGAATATTGTTCTCTAGTTAGGATACGTTGTTGTGTAGTTTGAGGTCGTTATTAGTAGTTGTAAGCTGAGTACTAAGTAAAAGTTTTGGGGTGACACAAGAGTATAGAAGGGAGTGAAATTAATACTTAAATGTTCAGACAGATGAAATCTGTTAGGTGTATTTATTAAAATATATAGAACCTTACCTTACTATACGTATATGAAACCAAATCGAACACAATTCATATAATGACAAAATATAAATTTTACTGAACGTTTCCAAAATATGATTCAATTTTGCATGAATAAAAATTACAAATTTTGTGCTTATTTAATTTGTGTCCAGTTTCGCTTAAAATATTAATAAAATTAATTAAGCACCCATTGAGGCCGTCGTTGTACAAATTAAAGGTATTGTTTTGCGGCTTATCAGCGCCGGTAGCCGTAAATGTAATTATGAGATCGTAGCGAGGGGCTCGTAGCGGAGGTTCCTAGCGGGGGTTTGTAGCCGGCGTAGTGGCTACACGGCTACACTCGTAGCGGATTAGAAATTACCGTAGTCACCGTCGTTAAGGAAGGTGGTTTTCGAAATTATTTAAAGGTAAGGGTAAGAAATTATTAAATTTGAGTATTTTAAGTGTAAAATTCGTGGAATACTAAAACTTTTCCGGCCATTGTTTCATGCCTTAGGTATCTTTTTAGAATTCCATTGGCTAC